CGGATGGTGTAGGAGACACCCTTCTCCAGACAGACAGGCTGGGGCAGCACCACATACCTGGTGGCGGCAAAGCAGAGCAAGGGCAGCCATGTGCCTCCAGTGAGCCCCAGCACAGCCCAGCCCCAGCAAGACACTCACCTGGCACCAGAGGGGAGGCTGGTGGAGAGCTGGTCATCGGCTGGGATGGTGTTTCCACAAGGGCTGCTGGCAGAGACAGGGCTGGGGCGCAGCACCTTCAGCCTCACCTCCTGCCAGGCCTCCGGGTGCTGCCGGAAGAGAAGGGGCAGTGTCAAAAAGCCTCACGGTCTGGCACTTCCCACCACCGCCTCCCAATTTGGAAATACACTCCATCACAGGCTTCACCATGTGGTGCTCACCTGGGGTTCATAGCGGATGATCACGTCATACTCGGTGGAGAAAGGCACGTCACTCACATGAAACTCCAGCCAGCCACCTTCCAACATGCGGGCAAAACCTGTCCCCGTCCATGAAGCTGGGCGGTCTGTGGGGGGTTCACGCTCCACCACCGAGCCCTGGTGCAAGTGGGGGTTGTGAGACGGGACACTAAAAATTGCCTTGGCCAGCAGACACTGCTCTGCCCTGGACAGCAAGGCAGACCACCGCTGGCTTGGGGACCCTGCAAAGGGGCACCCACTGCCTGATGTCCTCCCCAGGGACACTTTCATGCCTTACCTGATGCAGCCGAGCATCCTCAGCCTCGTAGGTGTAATGGTCCAGATTGATGTGGTAGAAACCAGGCTCCACCTGTTCACACTGTCGTCCCATCACGTGGCTGCGACACTGGCACTGCCCTGTCTCCATGGCACACCTGGTACCCCAGCAGCACCATCAGCCCTGACACTGTCAGGGATCCTCCTTGCCCCCTGCATCCCCACAAAGACTCACAGGTTGTTGCGGGCACCTCCCACATCGCAGTCACAGGGCCGGCAGCCCTGGAGGTCATGGCTCAGCCCCCAGTGCTCGGGCTGCAGAGGGCAAGGGTGTCAGGGAGTGCCCAGCTGTGATGCTACAGCACCGAGAACTGTGCATGGGCCCCAGTACAGCCCCACTCACCAGGCACTGGTTGCAGTTGTGCCCCGTCACCAGCCGCTTGCAGAAGCACTCCCCGCTAACAGGGTCACACCGGCTGCCATCGGCCACCGTGCCACGGGGGTCACAGTGGCATCCTGCACGGAAAGCCAGCATTGTGCAGCTATGCCAAACCACACACCTGCCCCCAGTGGGTGCCACCCGGGTACCTACGCTGGCAGCCCTGTGGGTTTTCGGTGCTGAGGCTGAAGAAGCCAGGTTTGCAGCGGTCACAGCGGGGACCGGCCACATGCTCCTTGCAGCGGCACTGCCCTGCAATCAGCCCCCTGGCTGGGTCATCAGCTCCGTCGCACAGCCCACCGTCCAGAGAGCCCTCAGGGTCGCAGTCACAGGCTGGGGGCGCAGAGAGAGTCAGCACCGTGACCACCATAGCACCACCCTGCAGAGCCTGCCCCACATCCACACCCCCTGGCACTGACCTCGGCACACCGCGGGGTCCCGCAGGTCCTTGGTGGGGTCCTTGTAGTAGAAGGGTTTGCAGAGGTGGCAGCGGCGGCCCATGGTGTTGTGCTGGCAGTCATCACACACGGCCCCGCTGGTGTTCCCCGTGGCCAGGAACACGGCCATGTCGAAGTGGCACCGCCGTGAGTGCTCGTTGCAGTCGCAGCCTGCAGGGACAGCACCGCAGCATGGCATGTGGCACCCCAGCCCCCACCTGGCAGGTAGCACCTGCAGTGCCAAACCTCCTCAGTTTGGACTCCCCTTACCCTGATATGCAGCCACCACAACCTCAAACCTCCCCAACTACAGCGTGCAGCACCCCAAAACCTCCCAGCCTGTCTGCAGGATGCCACTCTCCACTCAATCACATCCACCATGTAGCACCCCAAAACCCCTGGCACAGTGCAGCCTCCCAGCCCCAACACCAGGATCACTGTGCCAGGAGTTGGTGCCAGCGTGGGCACTCACGGCGACAGGCGTTGGTGCTGGAGCCCTCGGCCGGGCGCCAGGGCAGGTCGTGGTAGAAGTCCTCGCAGCGCTCGCAGTTCAGTCCCTGCGTGTGGTGCTTGCAGACACAGCGCCCATGCACCTGCCGGGATGCCATGGGTCAGGGGCTACGGAACTAGGCAGCACAGCTACCCAGCTCCAGCAGGGCACACGAGGCTGGCTTGCCCTACCATGCCGTCGGCGGTGGCAGGGGCCCCACTGAGCGGGGCGCACTCAGAGGCATGCCCGTAGCAGAAGCAGTTCCCACGCATCACCAGCTCGTAGAGCGCGTAGTAGTACTTCTCCCGGATCTCCCGCCGCGAGTCCAGCAGGTCGTCCCCCAGCGTGTGCAGCTTGGTGAGGTTCACCCGCAGGTTGGTGACACGCAGCAAGTCTGCGGCAGGGAGAGACCTGTGTTGGCATGGCATGGCTGGGCACATCCATGCACACCTCACCTCTGCCGGGCACAGCTGGGCTGGGCTGCGCATGGCGTAGTGGGCTGTGGGCGGTTCAGAGGAGCTGGGCATGGCTTGGGCATGGCTGGGGTGGGCTGTGCACGGCATGGGGTGTCTGTGCAGGGCTGCTGTCCAGGCTGGGCTGTTGTGGTTTTTTACAGCACAGTGTATTGGCCGAGGGCTGTGCATGGTTTGGCTCACAGGCATGTGGTTGCATGCGGCCAGGTTGGGCTGTATGTAACTGCGGGGGTTCAACTCCCATGCACGTGGCTGTGCACAGTCTGCCTGTGTGTGGGCCAGGGCTCTGCACACCCCAGCAGAGCCTCTGCAGAGGCTGGGACCCCATGAGTGCAGAACAATTCCCTGGGGACAGCACCTTTATGGTGCTAGGGTGGTGGGACATTCACCACTGGGGGTTGTGCCCAGGAGACAGCTGTCCCTGATGGATGCAGCCTGGAGGCCCTGGCAGGAAAGGACAGCTCCCCAGAAGTGCAGCTTCCCAGAAGCCCTGCCCTGCAGATTCCTCCCCTCCTGCTCCCAGTCTAAATTTAGCCCTGGGTGATTAACCCACTGCATCTTGTGCCCAGCATGACTCCCCATCTTGCACTGCGGCTGCTGCTCAGCACTGGGTGCAGCCATGGCACAACCATCCCCCTCCACTTGACCCAATACAGCCTGACCTTTAGCTGCTCCCACAGGGCAGGGTGCAGGAGGGGCCTGAGCTGCCGCTGGATCAGGGCTGATCGGGGCTGGATCAGGCCCTGACCCCACTGTGAGGCTCAGAGCAGGGAAAGAACAGCCAAAATAGCTGCGCCCAAAATAGAGCAGCCAGGCAGGAGCCCAGGGCTGGCGACTCACTCTGGATGGAGGGGCTGTAGGGGTCCCGGATGGGGATGGCAGGGTCCAGCACTCGGTAGATCACCTAGGGTGGACAGCAAGGTGGTGAGGAGAGAACAGGAGGTCCCTCAACCCTCCTGGAGTGCTGCCGGGGCCTCACCTCTCCCTCAGTGGAGGGCTCGATGTCAGAGTAGCGGGACTCACAGACGACATCATCGATGCGGCGTGGGGGCCCATGGGGGACGTGGGGGAAGGAGGCAGCGCAGTCGTAGGCGAAGTAGCGATAGACCTTCCAGGTGCGCCCAAAGTCAGCCGAGCGCTCCACCAGCATGGCCGCAGGGCGGAAGGTCTGCAAGACACCCAGGTGGGACGGGGGCCAGCCCCACAGCCCTCAGGGGCCTGTCTCATCCCATCCCAACCCAACCCAGCCTGGGTACCCTAAATGTTGGGACCCACCTTGAAGGTCATGATGAGGTGGGTGAAGTGGAACTCGGCCTCCAGGTCCAGCTGGATGCTGACGTGCTCCACACCTGGGGATGACAGGAGTGATTGCTGGGAGCACCCACCCATGGCTCCCTGGGGCTCGTCCCCCCCACCCGGCCGTGGTCCAGGGGTGCGGCCGTGGCCGCCGGCTGAGTCACACTTCCTCAGCGTGGGAGGAAGGGAAAGAGAGCCCCCCGGGACAGGACAGGATGCCCTGCCACCCCCACCCACGGCTCACCATTCTCCGACTGCCACCAGGCTTTCTTGGGACGGGGGGCGAAGCTGGTGACCACGTTCTCGATGCGGTGGCTGTTGGTGTTGGTGCGGGTGTCATAGGGCCGTCGCGAGTCGCAGATGAAGCACTTTTTCTCCTCCTGCGAGTGGGAGGCTCAGCATGTGTCCTCAGCCCTGTCCCGTGACCCACATCCCCGTCCAGTGCCCCCAGTCCCCGTCCCACTCACCTGGAGGTGGCTGACAATGCAGTAGGGCTGGGGCCGGCGCAGCCCGCAGGTGGAGGTGGCACTCAGGCTGGCGGCTCGCCCCACCAACAGGTCCCCGGTGGCCGGGTAGCAGCTGCCGCGGGCACAGCCCTGGGGGGAATCAGGGGCCAGCCCCCCCCCCAGCCCTGCGGGGCGGCGGGTGGCTCAGGGCGCCGCGGGGCAAAGGGGGGGGCCGGGGCCGTGGCTCCCCCCGCCGCGCCCGGGGCCCCTTCCGCGGTCGCCCGGAAACGGGGCGGCGGGGCCGGGCCGGACCCCGGCACCCACCGGCCCCGCTGGGCGGGGGGCGCGGACTCACCGGCCAGCAGAGGCAGCAGCAGGAGGGCGGCGGGGCTCCGCTTCGCCGGGCTCCGCATCGCGGGGCGCGACGGGGCGGAAAGGGGCGCAAAAGGCGCGCAAAGGGGGCGCTCGGCAGGTGCCCGGCGGTCCCGTCCCGTCCCGTCCTGACCCGCCGGTTCCCGTACTCGATCCCGTTCCCAGTCCCGTCCCCGGCCCCGTCCCGGTCCCTCCCGGCCCCTCCGAACTGGGCGGCAGGCGCAGCGCTCGGGGCTGTGCGGAAAGCGCGGGGCGGATCCCGGCCGGAGTGGGGAGCGGGGGAGCGAAGCGGCCGGGACAGGCGGGAGAATACAGGAGGCAGGAGCAGGGGGAGGTAGGAGGCAGGGGAAGGCAGAAGGCACCGGACACAGGCACACACAGTTCAGGGCTTTATTTGCAGGCGCGCCCGCGCTATAGGCGCCTGCGGAGTGGACGGGACCTCCGAGCTCGGGGACCGGAGGGGGCTGCGGGGCAGGACCGGCCCCCGGCCCCGTCGGTGGTCCCTAGCAGGTGGCATAAGCGTTGGCCCTCTCGCGGATCTCCTGCAGCAGTCCCGAGACCTGCTGCTCCAACTCCTGCAGTTGTGTCACCTTTGCTGCCATTGCCTGCTCGTTGGCCCCAAAGCGCTGCTCCAGGTCTGCGGGACAGGGGACATAGTCATGGTGCAGCCCACCACCATGTCACCAGCCCGCATCACTCCTGGGCCACCAGGTGGAATGGGCCCGGGGGACACAGGGAAATGCACGAGGAGATGGTGGAGAATGTCCCCTGCCATGTTCTCCCCCTCACCTTCCAGCTTCCTCTTGCTGTTGCTGGCCTTGTCCAGGAGGTTTCGGGCCTCTGTTGTCAGCTGTGTCACACGCTGCAGGGCCCCATCAGATACCCCATCCAGCACTCTCACCCGGTTCTTCAGCAACACGTAGCGCTGCGTCACGTGCGCCAGGTCCTGGTGGCACAAGGGCATGATAGTGAGGCTGAGCACCCCCAGCACTCCGTCCCTACTTGGTGCCACACCGCGGCCAAGCAGGGCTGGAGCTCACCTGGCTGAGTGTCCCCGAGGTGGAGGTGGCACGCTGTGCCCCGTCCTTGGCTTGCTGGGCCATGTGGCGAACATTCCGGCCGCGCTCCTGCAGGGTAGTGACGCGCTGTGCCAGCTCCCGCAGCCGCCGCTGTGCCCGTGTCTCCTTGCCGTCCAGGGCCTGCAGCTTGCGCTCCGCCTGGGCAGGCACGGACACCAGCTGTGGCAGGCATGGCAACTGCCATACCCATGGTGCTGGGCCCACTGCCCTGGTGAACACATGGCACCCGCCCCCCACCATTCACATTCCCCCAGTACCAGCCTCCCTATCTATGATGTGCCTAAGGCATCAGTCTTGCCGTCCCCAGTACCAACCCTATTGCTCCCAGTGTGCCCCCACAGCACCAACCTGGTTGTCCCCAGCATGCCCAAAACAGCATCCCCACTCCCAGCTATGCTGGTGGAATTGGCTCCACTCCCCAGCTGGTGCCCCTTACCTCCCTGGCTTTATTCTCAGCTGCCCGGATGGCATTCCTGGCGCTCTGCAGGGCACTCCCTGCTGCCGTTGCCTGTGCCCGTGCCACCTCCAGCGCCTGCTGTGTCTCCGCCAGCTCATCCCTCACACCTTCTGCTCGCTCCCTGTGGCAGCATGGGCAGCTCCAGCCCCTGCCAGGGCTGGGGGACTGACCCCATACCCTGCCCACCTTGGCATATCCCCCATAACTCACCTGGCCTCCTGTCCCTGCGCCAGTAGCCCCTGTGCCATGGCCAGCCCCTCTGCCGTGCCATTGAGCACTGCATCAACCCCCTCCAGCTGGCTGATGCTCTCCCGCATCTCCCACAGCAGCTCCTGGATCCGACCGGGGCTGCTGGGCAGGGAGATGTTCAGCACCTGCTGGGCCACCAGCTCGATGCTGCCTGGGTCAGCTCCCTCCTCTGCAGGGACAGGAGAGGAGAGTGGGCTCAGGGCGGGCACACTGAGCCCCACCATTATCACGTGCCCACCTGATGCTGGCACTACCTGCCAGGAAGGCCTTGATTCGACGGATGAAATCCCGTAGCTGGGTCGTCGCCTCCTCCGCGCGGCTGCGGGCAGCCTGTGAGCGCCCCAGTGCCTCCTCCGCCCAGCTCCGTGCCCCCCGTGCCAGCTCCTGCACCTCCTGCATCTGGGGGGCAGCCGGCTGAGCGGGGGGCACAGGGAAGCCCCAGGGAGGGGGCATGGGGGTGAGCAGGGGGCATGAGGTTACATACGCGGGGACAAGATGGGGGCCTGCAAGGGAGCATGGAAGGAGGGTGCAAAGGGACATACAGAGGATGCAGCAGTGGCCCAAGTGGGCACACAGGTGGCACAAGGGACAGTTGTGAAGGGGCATAAGAGGGACACACAGGGCTAATATCCTTGGGGGCATGGAAAGGGCACAAGGAGGGCATAGAAGGGGACATACAAAGGGACATGGAAAGGGCACATCAAAGTGTCATGGAGAGGGCACAAGTGGGCCATGCAAAAGGGTCACAAGGGGACCCCAGAAAGTGTCATGGAGCCACCACTCCTACCTTCTGTGCCACAACACCCAGCTGCCCTAATGCCACCTCCAACTGCTGTGAGGCATTACGGGCGCTGCTCAGGGCTCGAGCTGAGATGGGCAATGCCCCTGTACAACCCGTGCCACCGCAACGCCGTGTGCCCTCACTGTCCCGGCACAAGGCTCCTCCACAAGGTGCGTGCTTGCAGCTCTGGTCTCCAGGTGCCCCACATATCTGTGATGATGCCAATGGTGCAGGTGGCAGCTCAACACCACATGGGGAGAGACCTCCATGCCACTCCCACCAGTCCTGCTCTCACCTTCTCATTGATCCTGGCAATGCTGAGTCCCATCACCCGTTTCTGTGCCTCCCGCAAGGATTTCCGTGCCGCGGCTGTGCCACGGCGGAAAGCATCGCCCCGCTGCCGCAATGCCCGCTCAGCTGCCCGCCGTGTCGCCTGTGACCTGCTCAGCTTACCAGCTGTGCCATTGGCCACCACCTCTGCCTGCCGCGAGGCCTCCGCCGATGCCAGGATGCTGCGGTAAGACTCTGAGGGTGCTGGTGTCAGGGTTTGGCCAGGATGGCTGCCACCAACCCCTCCAATCCTTGCCTGATGCTCTTACCGCTGAATCCAGTCGTTGTTACGGTGCCGAGGAGGATTTGGAGATGGGAGGTGGTTCGGTTGAGACCCCCCAGCTTGTGGCTCAGCCCAGCTAGCTGGTCATGGTGCCGCACATCTGCCTGCGCCAACTGGTCCAGATGTTGTTCCAGCTCTTGGAGGTGCCTCCAGAAGTTGTCCAGCTCCATTCTTTGGGTGGGGATGGGGTCTTAAACTTTTTTGGGGGACAAAAGGAGGGTCCCCCCACACGAGCCCAATGCGCACACTTGCCTGGTGCCGTCCAGCTGCCCGGGCAGTCCACTGAGGAGGGGGCTACTGGGGTTGTCCGCTTCGCCAAGCAGTCGTTCCACACGTCCCAGGGCCTCCTCCAGCTCCCTCAGGCGACGAGGGCTGAGTGGGAGCGCGGATCCCCCCTCCCTCAGGGCCTGCACCTGCGCCCCAAGGCGCCGCAGCCCATCCTGCAGGCTGCCCACGGCCGGGTCCCAGCGCTCGAAGCAGGGGTGGCAGGGCGAGCAGTGGGGGAAGGGCTCCTGGTAGCCCCGCTGGCAGCGGTCACAGTGCAGCCCCCCAAATCCCAGCCGGCACTGGCACTGCCCGCTGTCCTGCTCGCACTGTGGGCTCTCGGCACCCAGCGGCTCACACTCACAGGCTGCAGAGACAGTCAGATGTGTGTCCCGGCCTCCCCACAGACACCCATGCCCCCAGAGCGGCACCATGTTCCCAGCATCCCACCATATTCCCCTGTGTCTCTAGAGTCCCATCTATGCCCAGGGTCTCCTATGTCCCCACAGTCCCACCATGTACTCAGGGTCCCCTGAGTCTTCCATGTTCCCACAGACCCCCCATGTCCTCAGGGTCCCACCATGTCCCCAGCATCCCACTGTGTCACCAAGGTCTTCTGTGCCCCCAGGGTCCCATCATGTCTCCAAGATCTCCTGAATCCCTTGTGTCCCCAGTGTCCCACGTTCAGAGTCTCCACCCATGTCCCTAGAGTCTCACCATGCACCCAGATTCCCCCCACAGCTCCAGCCCCTGGAGTGTGCTCCCACCTCGGCACTCCTGCTCAGGGTCTCCCCAGTAGTGCTCCTGGCACTGGGAGCAGACGCGGCCCCCGAACCCGGGCCGGCACTGGCACTGCCCGGTCACCTGCAGCAACAGTGCTGTGCTCACTGGGTGGCTCACCAGGCCCCGGGAGGGCACTGGAGCCATGCCAGGGTGCCAGGGAACTCACCGTGTCACAGACAGGGTGCAGGGCATGTATGGGGTGGCAGTCACAGGGCTCGCAGCCCCCTGGACCTCCCAGGCTCCAGAACTGGGGTGCACAGCGGTCGCAGCTCTTGCCCACAACGTTGGGCCGGCAGGTGCAGGCTCCTGTGCCACGGTCACAGGCACAGGTGCCATTGGCACAGTGGGAAGCCAGTGTGCCCCGTGGGTCACAGCCACAGCCTGCAGGAAGGTGGGCATCCACTTGGGGCTCAGCAGTGCCCTGCTGGCCCCAATACCCCAGATCTGCCTGGCCCCAAAACCCATGCACAGGCCCGACACCCCTGATCCCAACACCCCCACCAATTCCAGTCCCTGTCCCCTGCCCAGCCCCAACCCAGGCACAGCCCCAAACCTCACCTGGCCCTGACCCCCAAGCCCCAAACCCCCCAACACCGCAAAATTCTGCCCAACCCAACTGCCCTGCACAACCCCAATCACTCCACACCCAACCACAGCCACATCCCCACTCCAAGACCTTGCTTCAGCCCAATTCCCCTAACCCAAACGCCTCAGAGCCCCCTGCCCCGCTCACGCCGGCAGCTGCGCTGCAGGGCATTGCCGTAGTAGCCAGGCTGGCACTGGGCACAGTGAGGCCCAGCAGTGTGGTACAGGCAGCGCAGGCACTGCCCCGTGCGAGGGTCACAGCCCCCCGGGTCGCTGGTGTCGATGTTGTTGTTGCACTGGCAGGGCCGGCACACGCCCCCCTCCATCTCCGGAGCCCCGAAGTAGCCAGGGGAGCAGCGGTCGCAGCGGGGCCCTGTGGAAAGTGAGGGCTGTAGGTACTGGGGTCCTGCAGCTCCAGTGCTGGGTGGTCCCCGTTGCACCACGCCCGCTCTTCCCCTCACCTGCGTATCCAGGTGCGCAGAGGCAGACAATGTGGTGGGTCTCCTCGTTGGCGTGGCAGGAGCTCCCGTGGTAGTGCCGCGTGCCAGGGTAGCCAGGACAGGGGCAGGGCCGGCACTGCTGGCCCGAGCCCAGCACGGGATTCCCATAGTAACCATCCTGGCACCTGCAAGGACAAGGGATGAGTGCCCAGTGGATCCATCACAGCCATCATATACCATCCCACCATCCCATCCATCCCATCTCATTCCATTGTATCTCATACCATCATATCTCATCCTATCCCATCCCATTCCATCTCAATCTCATCCATCCCATCCCACCCCATCCCATCCCATCCCATCCATCCTATATCCAATTATATCCATCCCATCCCATCCTATACTACCCTACTGCATCCCATCTCATCCCACCCTACCCCATCCCATCTCATCCCATTCCCCCATTCCAAAATATCCCATACCATCATATCTCATCCTATCCTATCTCATTGTATCTATCCCATTCCATGCCACACCACACCACACACCACACACCACACCACACCACGCCATGCCATGCCATGCCATCCCCTCCCCTTGGCCCTGGCCCACCTCTCGCAGTGCCGTCCGTCCGTGTGGTCGCGGCAGCGCAGGCAGGTGCCCGTGCGAGGGTCGCACTCCTCAGCGTGCCCGTTGCACTGGCAGGGCCGGCAGGCAGGGAAGCCCCAGTGGCCGGGCTGGCACTGGTCACACTGCCGGCCCACGGCACCAGACTGGCACCGGCACTGCCCGCTCACTGCATCACACAGTTGGGAGACCGAGCCCTCCGGGGAGCAGATGCAGGCTGTGGGGCGGCACGGCTCCAGTCAGGCACAGGGATGCAGGGACATAGGAATGGACAGACAGACAGGCAGGGGACCAGCACCCACCCCAAGGGCTGTGGCACAGAAGGGCTCATGTGGACACACAGGTCCACAAGAACATGAGTGGACAGACAGCCAAGTGAGTGCCAGGCAGGACAGCATCCACAGGGGGCTCAGGTGGATGGATGGATGGCTGGATGGATGGATGGAGGGGGGAACTGGGATGGGCTGCAGGACAACAGAGCTGAGATGGACACATGCATGGATGGACAGATGTACAGACAAGTGAACAAGGCAGCGAACAGAGAACTGATGGCTGGACAGAGACAGACAGGAGGGACAGGGATCCCTGGCAGACACAGATCCCACCACTTACGGCTGCATCCCTGGGGCCCGAAGCCGTAGCTGCCTGGGGCACAGCGGTCGCAGCGTCGGCCGATGACATGGGGCTTGCACTCGCACTGCCCACCCTGGACCTGGCACTCGCTGCTGCGGGAGCCCTGTGGGTCGCACTGGCAGGCTGCAGGAGCAGGACCAGCATGGGGCCAGGGCTGCCCTCTCCACACCTGCCCACACCTGCCTGCACTCTGCCTGCACCTTCCCACACCTACCGATGCCCTGTCACTGCTCTCCTGCCCACTCTGCCATGGGCATGGCCACATCCTGACCCACTGCCCCGGGCAGGGCTCCACCTTGCCCACTCCTCGGTCCCATCCCCGCAGGGTCCCCACTCACGCAGTGCCCCGCCGTGCATCAGGGCTGAGATGCTGCAGACCAGGCGGGCGCAGGCCTGGGCCAAGGGGTGTGGGGGGGCCATGTGAAACACCTCCAGGCACCGGTACCGCTCCAGCTCCTCCTGGCGCGCTGCCGCCTCCGCCCCGTGGAAACCCGGCAACTCCAACACCCGTGGCAGGAGCACCAACTGCGGGAAGGGGAGAGGAGAGGGGGCTGGGGGGCACAGACAGCCCCCACTGCGGGACCTGGCCCCTGCCACCAAGATGGATTCATCTGCCCCAGGACAGCCCTGATCCTGCTTGGCGGCTCAACCACTCAGCTCCATCAACAGTTGAAGTTCCACTGACATCCCCAAATCCAATGATACTCCCATACTAATTCCTATCCCCAAAGACTTCCTTATACCCTTCCACACTGACATCTCTGTGCCAACTCCAACTCTATCAAAATCCCAGTCTCATTGGTATCCCCTTCTCCATCAACATCCCCATCCCATCTTATCCCATCCCATCCCATCCCATCCCATCCCATCCCATCCCATCCCATTCCATCCTCATTCTACCTCATCCCCATCCCCATCCCATGTACATCTCCAGAGCGGGGTCACTGCCCACCCCAGCCTGTGGTCCCCCATCTCTGCCCATTACCCTACCCCTGCCAAGCCCCAGGCATGGGGTGCAGTGGGACCCCCCTCACCGAGTCAATGAGAATGAAGGCGCCAGGGTGGCGCTGGGTGACACCAGCCCGCTGAAGCCGCATGGTCACTTCATAGGGGGTGCTGGGCTCGAAGCAGAAGGGCCGGGACAGCAGCACGTACCTGTACAGAGTCAGGTGTCAGGGCATGGGCGCAGCGGGGCCATGGGGACAGAAAGGGGACAGCAGCAGGACCTAACTGCCTTCCTTGTCCCTGTCCCCATCCCTCACCTGTGTGGTAGGATTGTACCTGTTTCCATCCCATCCCCATCCCTCAGTTCTGGGAGTGTGGTAGGGCTGTCCTTGTCCCTGTCCTGTCCCAATCCTTGTCCCCACCTCCATCCCACCCCATCCCATCCCACCCCATCCCATCCCGTCCCACCTCTGGCTGTGGGGCAGGCTCTCACGGTACACCTGCTCGGAGGGCAGCAGGTTCCCACAGCGAGGGCTGGTGGGCAGCACCCGGGAGCTGACACTGACCACGACCTCCCAGTCCTCAGCTGACTGTGGCGACAGGTGAGGCAGCGTCAGGGCTGTGCCGTGTCGTGCCGGGCCGTACACACCGTGGCCACAGCTGTGGCCGTGCTCACCTCAGGCTCGTAGCGGATGAGCAGCTCGTAGTCCATGGGGTAGGGCACGTTGTCCATGAGGAAGGTCAGGCCAGCCCCGTCCCGCACCCGGGCGAACCCCAAGCCTGTCCACGTCACCATGTGCCCAGCACCGTCCCGCACCACCTCCTCCACGTCTGGCTGGGCAGGGCACCGGCACAGCTTGGCCCAGGCTCTGCCCCCAGACTGCCCCTGCCCCACAGTGCCCGGCTGTGCCCTCTCCCACCACCCCAGGGCTCACCTTGGGGGGCTGCTGGCGGCTGCGGCGCAAGGGGGTGTGGAGCTGGGGGGCACGGGGGGAGCTGCGCTGGTGCCGTGAGCGTCCCTTCCGCCCCCCTGACTCCCTAGTGTTGTACTCCAGACAGTCCTGAGGCACCTCTGCCCGGATGGCACCCTGCAGGGACGGGGTCAGGGGATGGCGGCCATGCACAAGGACAGCCATGCACAAGGATAGCCATGCACAGGGCATGGTGACAGCCACATGCATGACAGGGTGACAGCCATGCATGGAGCATGGTGCACAGTGACAGCCATGCACAAGCACAGGGACCCCCAAGGAGACTCACCGGGAGCTGGGGGTGGCTGTGGCCATGGCCGGTGGCTTGCTCAGCCTCATAGGTGTAGTAATCGAGGGGGGCGCAGAAGAAGCCGGGTTGTACCTGGTCACACTGCCGCCCCATGATGTGGGGACGGCAGGGACAAGCCCCGTCCTCCATGGAGCACCTGGGGGCAACCATCCTGTCCCTCAATCTGTCCTCCTGTCTGGCTTTGTCCTCATCCATCCATCCATCTCTAGGGATGGAGATCCCTCCCTCCCTTACTCCATACCAGTCCCCTTTATCTTCCCAGCCCTGTCCCCATTCCTCCACCAATGTCCCCATCCCTCCCCCCATGTGTCACTCCCAGCCCTGTCCCCACTCCCATCCCATTCCATGCCCCTCCAGGTGCTGTGCTAGGCCCCACCGGTTGCTGTAGGCTCCCCCGAAGTCACAGGCGCAGGGCCGGCATCCCCCCAGGTCGTAGCTCAGGCCCCAGAACTCAGGCTGCAGTGAGGAGGGACATGTAGGGATGTGTGGGGCCAGCCCAGCCCTGGGGGTAGCCATGGGGCTGGGGAGAGTCAGGGGCATGGTGCATGGTGTGGGACAGGCTGGGGCACTCACCACGCACTGGCTGCAGGAGCGCCCGGCCACGAAGCGTTTGCAGTAGCAATCCCCACTGATGGGGTCACACGGGGAGCTGCCCATCACCGTGCCCCGCGGGTCACACCGGCACGCTGCCCCCCGCACATGCACGTGCATATGTGGGAGGCTGCCATGTGGGACCACAGCCCATGGGCTTCATGGCCGTCCTTCCCCATCCCATGTCCTTTCATCCCTCACCCCTCCATCCCCATCTCTCTGTCCCCATTCCTCCATTCATAGTCCTTCCATTCCCATCCCTCCATCACACATCCCTCCATTTCCATGTCTCTATCCCAGATCCTTCCATCCTCATCCCTCCATCACCATCCCTTCACCTCCATCCCTCCATCTCCCTCCCTCCATCCTCATCTAACCCATCCCCATTTCTCAATCACCACCCCTTCATCCCCCATTCCTGCCTCCTCAAGCCTTCATCCACACCCCTCCATCATCCCTCCACCCCCATCCCTCCACCCCACATCCTCCCACATCCATCCCTGGGTCCCAGCTCACGCTGGCAGCCCAGTGGGTCTCCATGGCTGAGGCCGTAGGCGCCGTGTCGGCAGCGGTCACAGCGGGGACCGGCCACGTTCTCCTTGCAGCGGCACTGCCCTGCGATCATGCCCAGCGCCACATCTGTGTGCCCGTCGCAGGCGCCTCCGTCCAGCGAGCCCGCTGGGTCACAGTCGCACGCTGCCAAGAGAGAGAGACCGTGGGGAGCTGTGGCTGCCAGCACCAGGAGCCATGGGGCCAGGGCTGGTGGCAACAGGAGCCATGGGGCCAGGGTCCCAGGGCACTCACGGGCACAGGCAGTGGGGGCGCGGATGTCAGAGCGAGGGTGCCGGTAGTAGAAGGGTTTGCAGAGGTGGCAGTGGCGGCCCATGGTGTTGTGCTGGCAGTCGTCACACACGGCCCCGCTGGTGTTCCCCGTGGCCAGGAACACGGCCATGTCAAAGTGGCACCGCTGCGAGTGCTCGTTGCAGTCGCAGCCTGTGGGGACGGCACCATGGCACAGCATGTGGCACCCTAGTTCCCACCTGGCAGGCAGCACCCCCAGTGCCAAATCTCCCCAGCCTGGACTCCCCTTACCCTGATATGCAAGCACCACAACCTCAAACCTCCCCAAACTACAGCCTGCAGCACCCCAAACCCCCTGGCACAGTGCAGCCTCCCAGCCCCAACACCAGGATCACTGTGCCAGGAGTTGGTGCCAGCGTGGGCACTCACGGCGACAGGCGTTGGTGCTGGAGCCCTCGGCCGGGCGCCAGGGCAGGTCGTGGTAGAAGTCCTCGCAGCGCTCGCAGTTCAGTCCCTGCGTGTGGTGCTCGCAGACACAGCGCCCGTGGATCTGGGGGTAGCACCTGGCTCAGTATGGCTGCTGTGTCCTATGGGCACAGTGCCGTGCCGGTACGTGCGTGCATCTCACCATGCCGGGGACGGAGGGCGTTGGAGCGCCAGGTGCCGGGGCGCAGTGGGCAGCGTGGCCATGGCAGAAGCAGCTCCCGCGCAGCACCAGCTCATCCACAGCGTAGTAGTACTTGTGCAGCACCTCCCGTCGCGAGTCCAGCAGGTTGTCCCCCAGTGTGTGCAGCTTGGTGAGGTTCACCCGCAGATTGGTGACGCGCAGCAGGTCTAGGGGGGCGTTGCTGTCAGGACCTGCCCTGGTGCCAGCCAGCTCCACTCCCCTGACACCCCCGGCCACACACCCTGGATGTCCGGGCTGTAGGGATCTGCCACAGGGATGGAGGGGTCCAGCACCTTGAAGATGACCTGTAAGGAGGAAGGGATGGGTGATCCCATACTACCCAGACCCCCCGTTCCCCTCTGCATCACTCTGTCCCCACGCACCTCCCCGTGGCTGGAGGGCTCAATCTCAGAGTAGCGCTGGTCACACAGCACCTCATCCACAAGCCCTGAGGGCTGGTTGGGGATGCCAGGGAAGAGCTTGGAGCAGTTGTAGGCAAAGTAGCGATAGACCTTCCAGGTGCGCCCAAAGTCGGCTGAGCGCTCCACCAGCATGGCCGCAGGGCGGAAGGTCTGCAGGACACTGAAATGGGACAGGGGCCAGCCCCACAGCCCCTGGGGGTCCATCCTGTCTCATTCCACCCCATCCCAGGCACCCCTGTGCCCAGACACACCTTAAACTTCATGATGAGGTGGGTGAAGTGGAACTCGCCCTCCAGGTCCAGGCGGATGCTGACATGCTCAACGCCTGGGCAGACAGATGGCTGAGATTGGGGAAGACCCCCATGGCCACGCAGCCCCAACGCGCACACACATGGGGCAACCCCACTAGTGCCCCAGCCTCACCATTCTCCGACTGCCACCAGGTCCGCTGGTCGTGGGGGCCACTCAGGTAGATGACGTTCTCAATGCGGTGGCTCTCAGGCAGGGATGGGTCCCGTGAGTCGCAGGTGAAGCATTTCTCTGAGTCCTGTGCCACGGAGCAGCACCATCAGGGATGGGTGACTGGAGGCTGCACCACTGCCCAGCTCTGTGGGCCTGTGCTGGAGCTGTGCTGGGGCCAGGTGGGCTCACCTGGAGGTGGCTGACGATGCAGTACTCCTGGGGCCCATCCAGCCCGCAGGTGGAGGTGGCACTCAGGCGGGCAGCTCGCCCCATCAGCAGGTTCCCAGTGGCCGGGTAGCAGCTCCCGCGAGTGCAGCCATGGCTCAGGTCAGGTTCCTCCCAGCCCCCTACTGCCAGTCCCCCTGCTGCAGAGAGCATGAGGGCACAGGCTGGGGACTGTGCCAGGGCCCCTGTGCACCCCCAGCTCCTCCGTACACTCACCCCACCCCCAGCCGTCCCATCCCGTCCCATCCCTGCATCCTGACCCACTGATGCAGCACGAAGCTCCATGATCCGGAAAGGTGCTGGCAGCAGCGCTGGGGCCTCGTGACCAGGGCAGGGAGCAGGGTGACTGGGGGGCTGGGCTGCCTGTGCTCCTGGGGGCCTGGGCAGCCCCAGGGCACCAAGCGGTGCCGGGGGGAGTCAGGAGCCGGGTCAGGCGCCTGTTAATCCCAACAGGGTTTAGCGCAGCCCAGATTCCTTGCTGCAGTGGCAGTCAGGCCCTGGCTGTTGATGGCCAGGGAACATTGCCATTGCCACCACTCCCACTGCCCAACACCCTCTGCCCAGATCTGAACCACAGCACCGTAGGTACACAGCGTGCCACTGAGCCCAGTGCTTACCCAGGAGGATAGCGAGCACCAGGAGGTCCATGGACAGCCAGGGGATCAGCCGGGGGGGACACAGAGATGGCACTGCTGCAGGGTGCAGGATACGGCTTAGCGTGCAGGGCGTCTGGCGCCTGGCCGCTCCTGGCTCTGGCACAACCATGCAGTCCAGGGGGCAACCCTCCCACCCCAGCATGATGGTGCTTCCTGGGCACAGCACTGGAAATCGGAGTCAGGTGGGACAATTGGGTCCCAAAGTCGTGTCCCAGTGCATGGCCCTGGGGGGCTGTGGCATACAGACCCGGGTACACAGCTGTGCTGCACACCCCCTGACCTGGCACAAACTGTGCCATGCCCCATCCTGCCCAGCTCAGGACGGATCCATCCTTTCGAGTGTCACAAGTGTCCTTGGGGGGTACCAGTGCCGGGCCAGGGCCAGCCTGGGAGGGGAGCCAGGAGTGCTGGAGCCGGCTGGGCGAGGGCGTCCCTGACGCTGGCTGGGGTCCCACTGTTAAATTTAGGCTGGAGCTGCCTTTTGTGCTTCCTTCTCTCCCGGTACCTCCCGCTCCCAGCCTTGCAAGAGCTGGATCAAAGCCTGGCCCCGGCTCTGCCCAAACACATCTCTCCTGTCCCTGCACGGAGTCAGCCCCGGGCAGGAGGGCTCGGGGCTGCGGCGGGAGCTGCAACACTGTCCCAGCACCCACCCCGCTCGAAGCCACGCCAGGGCGGTGGGTGAGGTGGTGCAGAGCCACGTGCTGGCACGAGGGTCCCCGAGCCGCGCGAACCCCCGGTACCTGGTGTCCTGCAGCGTCCAGCGGGACCAAGGCCAGGGGCGAGGGCGAGCAGGACTCGCTGCCCCCGAGCTGGGTGTGCAGAAATGAGCCGGGGCAAGGGCAGCGATGGGATGGCGGCTGGTGGCCCCCCTTCCCCGTGCACGATTCTTATTCAAATGGGCTGCCCGCTGAAAGGGACGGCGGTCTCCAGGCTACGGGAATGTCACTGCCGATTCCTTCTGCCTGGAGGCCCCTGCCGCCTGCCCGCCCGCGGAGGCCCGGCCGGCCAGGCGTCGGCAGCCCGGGCACGCCCCGGCCCCTGGGCGGCACGGTGGGCCCCGCCGGCAGACAATAGGGCGCCTCGAGGGCCGGCGAGCCAGAGACACCGCGTTCCCTGGGCTCCCGGCACGGTGTGGCAGGAACGCGCCTGCTGCCACTGGCAGAAAGGCGTGCGGGGCGGCATGGAGGGATGGGTGCCTGATGCTCCAGGAACCGGCTGGCACAGCTGCGCAGGGGTCACAGCACCGTTCTTTGCCCCACCTGGGGATGCCCCGTGGCTAAGGCACAGTTACGCTGCAGGGTGGAGCTGTGCCAGACGTCTGCCTCACCAGGAGCTCACCCGGACACAGGCACCATGCTGCTGGCTGGGAACATCCCTCCCAATGGACCCAGCCCTCCCCACCGCCACAGCTCCCTGGGCAAAGTCCAACATACATCAACCCCAGGAAGTGCACAGCAGGAGTGGGAGTACCCAGCCCTCCTCTGCCAAAAGACCCCACAGTCCCTTCCTTGCGTGCTGTCTCATGCCAGTTGCTGGCACTCAGGCTGTGCCATGGGGCTGTGCCATGTACCAAGGGCTGTGCCGCGAACTGGGGCTGTGCCGTGCCCAGGGGCTCCCCTCCGGCATGCTGGCTCCTACCTGTGCCTGTGGGGCCTGGGGTTCTGGGTGGGTGGCTGGTGGCTCAGGTAGGCTGCAGAGTCGAGGGCCCACTGGGCTCGGGCTGAGCTCGGCTGCTGTTCCTGGAGGAGGGCAGCCAGCGCCTGTCTCCTCCTCCAGCAGCCGTGCCAGGCAAGGGGAGGGACCTGCCCGCACCGAGCTTTAGCCAAGGTGAGGCAGAGGCCAGGTACACACTGGCAGTGGCCCATGCATGGCACAGCAGTGCCCTGTCCTTCGGCTGGCCAGGAGCTGGCACAGCATTCCCACAGGGCTGCTGTGCCCAGTTGTGCAGCACGTGGGTCTGCTGAGACAGGCAGCCCAGCTGGGACTCGCCCTGCACTGCACAGGCCCATCTGTGCCTCTTCAAGGCACATCTCCAGCAGCGGTACCGGGAGCCCTGGGGCACATGGCAGCCAACTGAACTCCCCCAACATCCATGCCGGATGGATCCAGTTCCCCCCCGAGTGCTGGCACTGTGGGCACCACCATGCCCCACTCACCCTGTGCTGGTCGGTGCTGCTCGAGATCCTTTGGACTGGCTGGGCTGGGCACTGAGCCGGCAGCCCTGGAGCCCTGCAGGGAGCACGGCTGTGCACCGGGGCCAGGATCCACAGAGAACTCACTGTCACACAGGGATGGTGCCTTTTATTAGCCAAGGCCGAAGGAAGGAAGAGGAGCTGTGTATCTCCACACCAAGGCCATGCTCTGGCCACCCGCCGCCAAGCAAGGTCACAGGCAAACAAAGAAACAGCTCCTGGCCATAGGAGTGCCAAAACCCACGCCCCTAGAGACACTCTGACATAGCCAGGCTGGTCCCACACGCCTCAGTGAGACAAGGGATGCCGTGGGCAGTACCCTGCCAGCTCCCCATGGCTGTGCTTTCAGCAGGCACTGGGAAACCTGGAGGAAGGACCAGGCTGTGCCCAGCAAGGCTCCAGCAGTGCAGGCTGGTGGCCAGGCATCACCACCTCATCAGCTGGGAGAGCTGGTGGAAGATGACCTGATAAAGAGCCATTAGCACTGGTCAGCATGTCTTCGTAAAGGGATCTTGCCAGGCAAACCTTATCTGCTCTAAGGAGATCCGAAGAGGCCTGATAAAGGGACCTGATAAAGGCGACTGTAACAGGATCTCTGGCCGTGAAAAGCAAAGTTAAAGTGGGAGGGAGGGATCCTCAGTGGCATCTGAGAGACAAGAAAGGTGTCTCAGCCCGTGTCCAGGCACCTCCAGGCTCCCTTAAAGGCTGCTCTGACTTCCCATGCCAAGCTGCAATCCCCTTGGCTGCCCCAGAGCTGAAGGTGTGGCCATGTCTGCCCAGGGAGGTGCCCTGTCCCGGGGCAGCTCCACTGGCTGGAGATCTGCCGGCAGCCCTCCATCCCCAGCATTTCAACGTGCTGAGCATCCCCTCTCCCCTGGGCACCCACAGCCTGCCTCCACCAGCACCTTCCAGAAGCCATCAGGGCACTCTTGCAGCAGTGCAGAGGGCCCCCCCCATCCTCGGCAGAGCCCCCGAGGTCCCGGGGCAGTGTCTCACGCCTGCCCAGCCCCACTTGGACCGACTTCAGTGTGCACAGCAGGCGGCCAGCACTTCCCTGAACATCCTTAGTGAGCAGAGAACTGCTTAACCGCTTCCCTTCCCCAGGAATGAGCCGCGGCACTGGAGCTGCTGTCTGCCCAGGACCACGATCCCACCACCATTAGTGCCGGGTCAGCGCACCGGCGGCCCTGCGACACAAACCGGATCCAGATCGCAGGCCGGTGAACAATGGCATTTCTGTTGAATTAGCTGGCCAGAGGGTCCTGGTGCAGAGTGGGCAGATCCAGAGGGAAAACGCAGGATGGGCAGGCAGGCTGGGGCTGGCAGAGCACCTGCCAGTGCAGTGCCAACCTGGCATGTTTTCTAGGAACTAACCAGGAATGTGGATTTATCCCAGTTTACACCAGTTCAGCACCAGTGGCATTCATATGGAGCATCTCCCACCCCACCCGCCTGGAGTATTTCCCACCCCAAGCCAGGCAATCCTTAATGGAGCTTGAGTAATATCAAACCTCACTGGGGGAATTAGGGAGAAGAGCTGGGCGTGATCTGCAGCTGAGCGTGCCCCATGCAGCAGCCAGGCATACAGGAGACACCACTCCATGGAGCTGACATGGGGCCGGGAGCAGGAGCCCAGGGAGGAGGAGTCTGTCAGGGCCCAAAGAAAAGCCGGACACACTGGGTGGTTCTGAGCACCATTTTACTGAAGGGCTGGACACCTGCTAGGACTTCATAACAAAAAGTTCACTTCATTTAAGAAAAACAACAGTCTGTTTTTTGTCCCATTCCCTCTGAAGAGCAGAATACTACTAACGCTGTCTTTTCACTAAGCAATGCCATTCCAAAATATACAACACAGAGTGTGGAACAGCCCAGCCTCATATTAACATTAAATATTATTAGAACTTCGGAAACATTCTACACAAGCAAATGAAACAGTAAAAAGTTCACTCAAGAACAAGATGGTCAGTTGTAAAATCATCATACAAAGTTTGTTACTCGCCCTTCCACAGGCTGCAGTTGCTGCTCCTCAGCCATTGCTTGGGATCCCCAAACACCAGGGAATGCCGCCAGTCCCAGCCAGAGTGGGTCGGTCATGCTGCGGGCGTGGAGATGGCTCTCTTGGAGATAATGGTTGGCAGAGAGGAGCACGAGGGGCCAGGCAGTGCCCACCCAAAACCCCCGTGTCCCTCGGAGTGGCTGCCGTGCCTCTGCTTGGGAAACCCTACTCCTCAGGAGTGGGGCACTGGGAACCAGGAGGGACGGTGTCACACACCGTGCCTCCCCCGCCATGAATGCTGATGCTTTTTGTCCTGACCCAGGCCTGGGCAGTGCAGCGGAGCGGGGGCAGGAGGGGAGGTATTTCTGGGAGTAGCTTTGCAGCACCTTCTCTTTTAAAACAGCACCATGTGCCTGTGTCTGTGGGAATCACCAGACACTCACAGGGGCTGCCTGCAACCACAGGAACACAAGAACAGAAAGGGCTAATTAAGACAACAAGGAGAGAATCCCAGAGGATAATAAGGCCTTTAAGGGACTCCCTGGGGAAGGTATTTCAGATGCCACCCATGCGGGGCCAGATTGTGCAACCGATAAAGGATGGAAACCAAGGGTTAGGAGTGGCACCTGCTGCAAAAGGACGCCCCTCACCTGCAGCACCAGTGTAGTCTGTCAGCAGGGCAGGCTCTGTGGCCAGGCAGGGGTGGAGGGGAGGCAGTGGTGTGGACACTGCAGCTCTGGCTCCTCCATTTGCACATCTCCCGCAGCAGACACAGAGCTGCCTGTCCAGGCGTTGCCAGCGTCTTTAGCTTCCCCTAAGCTTCCCGCTTTTTCACCAGACCTCCTTGATGTTCCTAAGAAAAGGAAGAGGTCTGGCCTCAGCACCACAGCTTTGGAGGCAGCAGCTGGCCAAGCTGCAAGTTCCAGCAGTGTCACATCTATAGACAGGGTTCACTCGACACCAAGGGATGACCCAGTGATGAGGGCCGGCTCTCACGCCTTCTGGGAGAAGATCTCTGTGAGGCACCTGACACCTTCCTAACGGCACCCAGCTCCAGGCAGGAATAGGCTGCGAGGAGAGGGAAACCCCAGCATGGTGCTCTCTAGCACAGAGTCCCAAATATGAGGGCCCACGAGTAACCTGCCCTGCTGCCCTCCCCACAGGTGGTGCCAGCCCACCCAGCTGGCAAAGCCAAGGGCTGCAGCACTGTCAGGAAGGTGCCAGGTGTTCCAGAGCAGCTGTCCTCTCCTCAGGCCACCTCAGCTCCCAAAAGGCCATCCCCAGGAGTAAACAGGCCAGTGCCATTCTGAATTCTGAAAAAGAAACCACACAAACCAACCAGCCTGGCTGAGCAGCCGGTGCTCCACAACTCGGCACCTGCCAACCATGGCTAAAACTAGGATTCTCCAACCTAAACCTGCGCTCTTGCCTGAGAAGCTGCCCAACTCATGTCACGCTGCCTAGCTGGAACTGAGAGACAAACCCACTCTCTGTCCCCACTCATCCCTTGAGTCATGGCCAAAGGCCCAGCTCCCAGACAGGGCAGGGAATTTGGATCCAAGGGGGAAGAACAGCTGAAGTGGCTGCACCTCCCACATGCTGCCAAAGTTTGGCCACGAACACAGCACAAGTCACAACTAAAAGGGCACAACCCCTGTGCTCAAGCCCAAAACCCTCCAGTCCCTCCTGCCATAGCTACAGCTGAGGTGGAGAAGTGCTGCTGGTGTTTGAGGAGGGCCTGGAGGACAGGCAGCAAAACGAGGGCAGCTGTGGGGCAGGGCCATGGAGCCGCATGCACAGCATCACCCACTTGTGCCGTTCAGCTCCCAATTTCCCTGCAATGCTCTTAGCTGGCAGCTGGCTGAACTCCATGCAAGGAAGCACCAGGCAATGAGGGCTCTCAGCCCACTGCCCCCCAGCCCTGTTAGTGTGAGCTGGTCTGAGAAGTGCCAGTGAGGTGAGTGCTCCCAACGCTCCAGAGAGCACACCTCCTCCTCGTACTGCAATACCACTAGTGGACTGCCAAGCAGGAGTAACAAAATAATCCCTTCTTGTTTTGCAGAAAAGTGCTTAAGAAATTCTGTACAAGGATTGCTACAGCAGCTGGCTCAGGGGGGGATGCAAATAGTTTAGAAGCAGCAGCACCACACTACAGGGCTTGCAGGAAAGAGGCTAAGGAGAAACTTCTCCAACTAAAAGCAGTGGCAGATGGTGAAATCTGATCACAGTGGACATAAGCTTCAAAACATTTCTACCAATTAACATTGTGATTTCAACTGGTATCTGATGTCAGCTTCCCCTTCAGCTGCCTGCTGGACAAGCTGCTCTCCCCACAGACCTCGCTGACGGACATCTGAAGCATGCAGGAAGCTCAAGGGCCTTGCCTGGTGGAGGGGAAGCATAAACTGCTTCTTGGCAGCTGAATAAAAGGAGAAATGATTTCCAAAAAAATCAGTCGGAAGAACAGCCCTTTGACCGCTGGCCGAATCATTTCTAGAAGCGACAGTGGCACAAATCCATGCGTTAAAAGCATTCCTAAGAGAGTCTCCAAAGCTCTCGGCTGTCATGGTGCCCAGAACAACACAGGCCAGGTTAGGCACTTGGATTCAAAGTGACTAATACAGAAACAGGTCTGGACAAGGTGCATACCACACACTCAGCAGAGACCACAGCGCTCTGGGCAACACATTTCCATGAGCCTTGCCAGTTACTGCTGCCACAAAGTAACATGGGGCAGAAGGGACCTGTGGGGGGAGATCTCTGGTTAGATCAGGTCTTGGGCAGCCCTGGTTTGATCAAACCCTTCATCTTCCCTAAACACCAGACAGCAGTGTCCATGGCACAGCCCCTCTGCAGCCTCCTGCACATCAGTGTTGCAGGCCCAGGACACCAGGAGCATCCACACCAGGAGCATCCACACCTGGGCACGAGTCAAAGGACAGAGGAGCCAACCCCCACTAGGCTGAGGCACTCGCTCTGCCAGCACCAGCTGACAGGCAGCAGTCACTGGCATTGGCACTAGGGGCTGCAAAGCCCCCCTGTGAATAACAAGCTGCAATCCTCTCGGCTGAGTTCCTGAAACACCTACCAGGGGTAACAGGTGACATCAGGAGGGTAGAGGATGGAGCTCCAGCACTGCCCCATCGCTCAGGGCCCTGTGGTCTGTCAGAGATGCGTAAGAGAGCTGACAGAGACAGGACTGGTGATGGGCAGGTCTCTGAGCACAAAGCTATGGAGTGCTCACTTCCCTGGCAGGAGTCTCGGTGACACAGAGGTGTTTCCCAAAGCTTGCCTCTCCCTGTGGAGCAGATCACCTCTTGCTGGTGGCCTGGGAAGGATACAGGGCAAGCCGTCATTACTAAGTATGTGCAGCACTCAGCTCGACGCTGGGAAAGGCATGGCAGCACTAAGGCTGGATGCTCTGCTGGATGTGTCAAGCAGCAAGTACAAGCCAAGTCCTTGACTGGCAAAGACCCAAGCTGTGAAAGACAAGAGGTGATGGAGAAGAGTGGGGAGGCAGGCAGCAATGCAGCTGGGGGAAGACACAAAGTGAAGAGGAGGGATGTGGCCTGCTAAGTTGGCCTCAGGTGCTCAACTTCCTGCTCAGGCTAGAGGAAAAGCAACCTCGACCCAAATTCAGCCTTGTTGATGCACGTTGTTTTCCCCAGAGGAGGCCAAGCACTCAGCTGGGACGTCTGTGCCACAAGAGCAGGCTCCAGACACAGCTCTTGGTGCCCTTATAAGGGTCTGGGAACAGGGGAAGCTGCTGAGCAGCCTGACAGACAGCAATACTGCAGGCAGGAGTTCAGAGCCCTCCTCGGGAAACAGCCAAAAAGAGAAACGCCAGTGCAGGACTTCAAGACCTGGCATTTGAGAGCGTGGGAATGAGAAAGGTCTGAAGGAGTGGGAACAAAAGGGACAAAGCAATTTTTGGCCAGTTGACAGTGATGGAGGGTCCCTGCTCATCCAGCATCAGGTCAAGAGAGGGGACTCTCTGCCAGGACATTTCAAAACACAGAAGCAGAAAGAAGTATTTCCTCCTCCTCTGCTGACAAGCAGCGGCATTCACAGGTCAGTCTCAAACACTGCAAGTTATGATCTCTGACAGCAACTCAGAATCTAAGTGTGGGGTTCAGGACCTGCAATCATGCCCTGAATCATAAAATCACAGAATAGTCTGCATTGGAAAGACCATCTTGTTCCAACTGCCATGCCATGGGCAGAGACACTTTCTACTAGACCAGGTTGCTCAATGAAGAACCTCCACCCTGCTCTACCTGGGTGAGAGGGGAGAACACAGACGCACCTTGGAACACTCAAATTCCCTGCCCTACTACCCCATTATGAACCTTCTCTCTTCTCTCCATGCCATGGTCTTCCTCTCTGAGCTGGAGATCAGACATTGACCCCTTTTACAAACCACTGAAATCCAACCAGGTGCTCGTGGGGGCTTAAACATAAGGAGCTGGGGCTTCCCTGGGGAGCTCATCCCTTCAGCCAATGTCCACAGAGATTACTAGGTCAGACAACTAGTATTTTGAGCTGGTGAGAGAATGAGTGGATTACAGGCTCACTGCTGCAGAGATCTGAGCCAGGTCCATGCCCAGCTCAATGCTGCTTCCTTTCCCCAAGCCACCAGGTTGCCCCTCCTATGTGACAGCAGCAGCACCTACTGCTCCAACGAGGTGTTTCTCCTGGAGCTTGCAGATCCCTTCCTGTGAAGCCTGTGATCCCATCCGACAGCATGCCCCTGGTGCTGCAGCGGTTCCACAGTGCCTCCTGGGGACAGCAGAGCTTTCACACCTGACACACACCTCCTTGCAACATCCCTGACGGCACAGCAAAGCCGCTCCCATCACAACACAGTGCCCACCTCCCCTCCTACTGCTTCACCCTCACAAACCAAGAGAAAGCAACTCTCTATGTTTAAGAGCTGGCACGTGTCCTCTCACCTCTTTCGCTTTTCTGCTTTAACTCAGGCTCAGATATCCCACTGAGCTCTGAGACCGGCAGGATGTAGCGAATACATTCAAACACAGCCTGTGTCTTTATCATGATTTAACCCAGCCAAAACCAACAAGTCTTCACTACCGGCATCTAGAACCTGCTCCTGAAACACCCAGCAACAGCAATTCAGTTATGTGGTGGGCAGGACACTTTACACAACTCCAGCCCTTTGGCTTTAACAGTCACAGTCCATGTTTTACGGCTGTATCTGGGATACAGGAGAGTGGGGCAATGCTGGGTGCTGAGGAGGAATCGCTCTTTGGAGGCAAATCCCTACCATGAGTTCAGAACTTCTGCTACCAACAAAGGGAGGAGGCACCTTCAGACGTCAGGCCCCGTGACACTCCCCCACTGCTATGCAGAGGTAATACCGAAAATAGGATTAAACCTACCAGCTGGTAATTCTCCAAATTGCTTGGCATTCTGGAGACAAACGAGTGGCTATAACGTTGCTGCCTCTGAGCTGCTCGAGGGAGCCCAGGACAGACTGTCACAACACTGAACCACAAAGGAATCCTGGCACCTTTCAACAAAAGCCTGGCTGAAGGGGAGGGGGAACAAAAGCTATTGAATCCTATCCCAGAGGGATGGAGGAAGTGCATCTTCCCACAGTTCCTGGGCCATATGCACATATATGGATATATAGATATATAGATAATAAAGTTATAAAATTTGATCAAAATAAAACCAGTAAATGTACAGCTTGAAAAAGAGCAATATCACAGTGCATCGATGTCATGAGAAAGTCCCATGTTCTCCCCTGCACGAGAGCTCAGCCTGCCACGTCCAGGGAAGCTCAGCAGGAAGTGAGCTCTCCGGCCTGCCTGGCTCGCCGCTGGCCGGAGTCACCATCCCGTGTTCCCAAACAGGGGTTTGGACTTCTGCAGCCAGTCCTGCACAGCAGTGGCAGACAGGCAGAACAGCACGGGAGCAGCTGCTCTGCCTGCAGGTTAGTCGGCATGTCAGCACCAGAGACACAGAGCTGCTCCCAAACTTCTCCGCGCTCTGGTGCCAGGCTCCTATTTACTTACTTACAAAAAAAAAGTGACAGTGAAGAAACTCAGGGGACACTGTGAGAGTGGGACAAGGGCTGAATTCGAATCACGGGGGACAGGTTGACCCTAAGAATCTTCTGTGCTCTCCTCCTCACTTCATCATCAGAGGAAGAGTTGCCCACCTTGATGGTCCGGAATTTCAGTAGGTTCAAAGTGCTCTGAGCCTGTCTAGTTTTCTTTTGGACAGGAATGGTATTTGCTTTTTTCCTCTGCGGTGCTTCTCTTGCCTCTGTGGCTCTTCTCTTCTTCTGCCCAGCGCTCTCCCGGTAACTGCTGCTGTCCTTCCACTCTGTTTTTCCTACCAGAGCTTCCTTATCTTTGATTTTCAGGGTCTTGGGCTGCGGTGCTGTGGTGGAGCCCTGGGATGAGCTGCCTGTGACCCTCCCGTTGAGAATTCCCGAGGCCTTGCAGGCGTTGCTCTCCTGCAGCACTCCACCCTTTGGTCCCTTCAGGAGGTTTAAAGCGTGGGTGGCAGAATCTGGTGCTTTCTTCACCAAATGCTTGTACCCCTTGCTTTCAGTTATTTTAGTGCTCTTGCCTGAAGGAAACTGCCTTGGTGGACTGGAATTCTTGAGAAGTTTAAGGTCTGAGGGCGAGATCCCAAGCCGCCCTCGCGTGTATTTGGACTCCAAACAGGACGTCGTGGTTTTCAGTGGCACCAGGGCTTCCAGAACCACAGACAGTCTCACGGCTGGATACACGTCGGGATACATGTTTGTAGGGAAGCCCACTGCCGCTGCCTTGGATGTGCCAGACCCTGTCTGCTTCAAAGAGTTCAACAGGAGATTCCTGGAATCCCCTTTGGAGACAGGCTGAGCGGAGACTTTCAGAGAGCTCACGGGAATGCTGGTGGGTGAAGCAGACACCTTTGCCATGGCTGTGGTGTTCCGGGCCGGACTCTGCGCGGACTTGGTGCTGACACAGCTGTGTGGGCTGCTCTCCTTCGTCTGACTTGGGGTGTCTGCCGTGCACGAGCTGTACCCGTACACATCCTTACTCCTCAGGATCGTGGGCTGGTAGCCCTCCTCCTTCAGGCCCTGGATGAAGGCCACCAGCTGTGTCTCTGTGTCCGAGAGGTCCTTGGACATAGGGTTGAAGACTCGGAGGGCCTCCTCCAGCACTTTTTGTCCGGCAGAGGAAATTCTCGACCAGGAATGGACAGCTTTTTCTTCCTCATTGTTCACTGCAATATTCATGGCATTAGGCAAACAGGTGCTTCAAAAAGGTCCAAATTACTGGAAAAACAACCCTCGACACCTCAAAAGGAGAAAGAAGATAGTTAGCTTAAAGCAACTGAAATTATCCCATGTTTCTAAGCAGGGATCTGAAACCATTAAGCCCAGGCGTGGCTGATCACAAACACCGGGTCATATTCTGGGCATAACCCAAGACAGAAGCATCATCAAGAAAATCCTGTCACTGATTTATCTCTGAAGTAAAATTAAAACATCTCTCATAGAAATCTCCAGCCTAAATAAAGATTTCAGGAAATCCCATCCAATCCATCCCAAGATGAAGGATTTCAACGATTAACTCAGCAAAATCTGCAGCTTGTTTCCAGTTTGAGTTTGACCCACCCCAGCTTTGGGTGACCAGATCACATTTTCCCTGGGTAAAGTAGTCCCTCATGGAACCCTCTCCCTGCACACACACCGAGAGCAGCACCACTGACCCATCTCAACACTAAGAAACCTGAGCACCTCAACTCCATCCCAGCGTCAACTCCAATTTCTCAGCTTCTTAATTGATGCTGCTCAAAAAATTGATTCTGAGTCCCTGCCAAAGCTGCAGCTTCCTCCTGGAGACCTGGCAGCAGGGCTGGAGGCTGTTCCAGTTGTGCTTCATCGATGCTGAATGCCGTGGCAAGGCAGCACCGCTCCTTGCTGTTCCCTTGTTTGAACAACGGTCCGCGACTTGCTGTCACAGCAAACTGGTGTTGATCCAAGGGCACTCGCTGCCAAGTGAGGAGGAAGCAGGAAATTCAAGCAGGGCGGTATGAAGGAAACACACATCACCAGGGCCAAGTGCACAATGGCCTGAGGGACAACACTGGGATCACGCTTAGGGCACTGCGCAGCTGCCTGCCCAGCACAAAAGCACCAATTATGGCTTTAAATAAAACATAGGCACTGAAGGGCAGTCCAGGCAGGACTTTGGGATGCACCCAAGAGAACTCTGGTGGCCTCACGGCTCTGCAGCTGGACGCTGTGCAGATGAGGCATAAAACCTTTAGCTCCATTGACAGCTCTCAAAATAACAACAAGGATCCAGTTAAAAACTCTTTTCAGAGAAATGCAGGAGGTGTCAGAAACACTCTTGGGAGAGGGCAGTGCATAGGGAAGGAAGCTGTGATGGAGAAGTTAGTGCAGACAGAGCAAGGAACTACTCGTGTCCCACGCTCCCCCCAGCACTCCGGTCTCCCCACGGCCCCGGAGCAGAGCCCGTGCTGCCGCCAGCTGCACAAGCAGGGGAGAAACAGGAGCCAAGAGCAGCCGCAGAAGGGGAAGCACAGGTCAGTGGGGGAGTAAGAACCTCCACATGACAGACTAATCTCAGTCAAGTGCTCTGCAGACGTCACGGCAGAAGAGGGATTTGGAGGAGGATAATGCAGTCGGTTCTGCGGCAGGCGGGGGATCTCCCACGGAGGAAGGGAGGCAGGCAGGGAAGGGATCCCACACAGGCAGGCGGGAAGGGATCCCACAGAGGCCCAGCCAGCATCATCACCACCTTCCAAAGGACCAAGCCAAGCCAGCAAGGATGTCACGTTAATCCTGATCTGGCAGGGAGGGACAGACCAAGGGAGAAGTGCAATAGCATGTTCTCAACAGGCTGCAAAACAGATCATTTTGGGGCTGCAGCAAGCCCAGGAACAGCTGGGACACCTGAAGGGGTATTCTGGCTGTGACACCTCACGGTGACAGGACTTCCCAACATCCCTCGGCTGGGTCCGGTTTGGTGCAGTGCCGGCTGTGCTGGAGGAAAGCCGGGCACGAGCAGGCACACCCCGGACACGCTGTTCCCTCAAGTAGGACACCACTTGGGGGGCCGGGGGGCCACAGAAACAGCGCTGCCGGCACAGTGCACGCAAAGCGCTGGCAGGGCCCTCCCGCACAGAGGGTTCAGAGGCCCGGCTGCCCGGGCACGGCGCTGGAGAAGGGCTCTGCTGTGCTTCTCCAGGGACACCGGAGGAAAACGCCGGCTACCAGCAGGGCCGAGACGCGGGGCTGGGGCTGCATGTGGAGCTGGAAGCCGGTGCGCAGTCCCAAGGAGCGCTCGGCGGGGCCGCCGGACCCCCGCTCAGCCTCTCCTACTGGCCCGCCCCTCGGCGGAGGCGATGCCTCTGCCCGAGCGCCCGTCCCTCGCTTCCCCTGCACCCTCCCCACGGCTCGGCCCGCCGGCCGGAGGGACCCCGGGGCGGGCAGCCCGCGCGGGCCGGCCCCTCCCTGCGGGGCTGCGAGAGGTGATTGGTGCAGACAGCGGGTGCGGCCCCCGCGCTCGGCCCGCGCCGGCTCCCGGGACCGGGGGGGCGGGGGCCGGGGGCGGGGCCCTCAGCGCCGCGGCTCCGCCTCCAGCGCCCGGGGGGCAGCGCCGGCGGGCGGCTCGGCAGCGCCCTCGCCCGGGAGCCGGCGCGGGGCCCGGGCCCGCCGGCCCCAACCTACCGGCCGCCGCCAGACCCGCGCCCGCCGCTGCGCCGCGCCCGCCGCTCCAACATGGCCGCCCGCGGGGCGCCGGAAGCGCCTCCGGCTTCCGCTTCCGGCCGCTTTCCGTGTGGCCGGGACCACGCCCGCAAAATCGCGGCGCGCGCTCGGCCCCGCCCCCGCGGTGTCCACGGCAACGGCGGGGCCGGGCCGGCAGGGGGCGCCCCGGCGGAAGCACCGCCTTCACCAGGTAACGGGGCCGGACCGGGCCCGGGCCGTGAGCGGCGGGGCCGGGGCTGGGACCGGGACCGGGGCCGGGATCGGGGCCGGGATCGAGACCGGGACCAGGACTGGGCCGTGAGCGGCGGGGCCGGGACAGGGGCCGGGCCATGAGCGGCGGAGCCGCGCAGCGGCGGCGGCGCCTGGTGCTGCACGTGGACCTCAACAACACCGTGGTGGTGGCGGACACGGTGACCGGGCAGGGCCCGCGCGCGGCGCTCAACACCTTTCTCAGCACCGTCACCTGGGGCCGCGCCGGGGCCGCCGGTGAGCGCCGGGGCTGTGGGAGCGGGGGGAGCCGGTGTGGCGGCGGCGGCGGGCTCTGAACGCGCTCCTCTCTTCTTGCAGGCAAGTGGGAGTGGCTGAGCGACCGTCCGTCCCTGTGCCCGCCGTGCCCCGGCGCCCTCAGCTACTGCAGCGCCCGCGGCCGGGACCCCTCCTTCACCGAGGCCGGGCCGGGTCGCCGCTTCCGCAGCCTCCACGCCCGCCACCTGCAGCTACTGGAGTGGCCGGGCCGGCCGCACGACGCCTTGTCCGTGCCAGGAGAGCCCGGCGAGCGCTACCACCTGATCCTGCCCTCCTTCTTCCGGCTCCTGGACACGCTGCACCGGAATGGCCGGGCCTTCGCCGTGGTTTTCAGGACCTTCGGCACCGACCTGCCCCGTGCCCTGCAGGCTGTCAGCAGTGCCCTGGACGGGCAGCACCCCCAGTTCCCCACCTTGCGGGACGTGGCGGTGAGTGGTGCCCCGAGGGTCGGGTGGGATGGGGAGGGGCAGCCGGGTGGTCCCACGGAGCCCCCCCGTGCCAAGCTGCTCTCCAGCCACTTGGCCAGACTGCTTTAAAAGCACCGGTTTCTTGGGATGAGGCTGTCAGCTGTGGGGGAGCACGTGTCTGTGCAAATCCTGTGTGGGAATGGTCTCCTCTTGGGGTATCCCGGGTTGGACAGAGCATCCCTTCTCCTGGGAGGTGGCTGCTGCAGCAGTGCAGGGCTCCCTGGCTCAGAGCTGATTGCAGCTGTGCTCTCTGCCCTCCCCCTGGAAGCACACTGGGCAGGAGCACTGGGAATGATCTTCAGGAGATGTTTCACTTATTTCTTGGAGCATTTATGGGGAGCAGAGAATGAAACGGGGGCAGTGTGCAGCTAGGAGGTCATTCTTTTCCGTCCCTGGGAAGGGGATGACTTTTGGCTGGGGGTGGTTCCACACCTCCCCTTGTCTTCTCCCCGGCACTGTCCTCCCACACTGCGGTGGTGGGGAGTCTCCACCCTGCTTCTTGGTGTCTCTACCAGTGCATGAAACAACCTGTCTGCTTTGGAAACCTTTCCTCCCTTGCTTTCTGTGGTCCTGCAGCTCCCTGTGGACCTCACCCCTGGCCAGATCCGCTGCAGCAAGCGGGAGGTGGTGCTGACACGGGGCGCGGAGCGGCTGGCCACCCGGGAAGATGGAAGAAAGCTTTACAACTATTTCAGCTCCTTTGAGGGAATCGGAGGCTTCCAAGACCACTTTGACTGGTGAGAAACAGGGCACTGAGGAAGTGGATTGGGCGTTATATTGTCTCCTGTGATTCTCTGATCTTCTGAGATAGCTCCTAGTTTTGAAGTCTTTTTGGTTTTGGGGCCCCTGTCACTTATGCACTCCCTGTTTTTCCTGTGTGTAGCCTGATGGGGCTGTCATACCTTTTCTCAGGTCTCCATCCCCTGGTATACTCCATGCTTTTCTCCAAACAACCCCTGATTTGTCAGCTTGGTGCAAAATGCCTTTCCCAGGAGGCCACAGCAGGCAGCAGGATGGGACATTCTCCATCCCACTTCCCTGGCTCAGAGGCTGCCCTGAGCCTGCAGTACAGCCTGCAGTACAGCCTGCCTTTGCCTGGGAGCTGTCACCCTCTCACTCCCTGACTGCTTCTTCTCCTGATAACTGTTTCAGGTGGGCCAGAAATAATTTCTGTTCCCGCGGTGGGAAGCCCCTGTGGATAGACCCCCACGATCCTGATGTTCACCACATCTTCATCGATGACAATATCCGGCTGGATGACGCGGACACCATTGTCCACCCACAGGTAAGTGGCTGAAGGCCACACTGGGGGTGACCCTGGTGAGGTCAGGCATGTTTTGTGTCCTTTGCATGAGCCTGCAAAGGGGGATTGAGGTATAGCCCTGATGTCACTGCACCCTGTGGCACCAGCATGGCAGTGGCCTCAACTCCTGCCCATTTCCATCTGTAAGGAGACAGTGCTGGGGGGAAACCTGCAGCAGCCAGTGAATGGTCAGCAGTGTTTGCCAGGCAGCCAGGGAGTTACGAGGCATGACATGCCTTGTGGACATTCCCTTCCATACAAGCTCTCCCAGGTTGTAGTTTTGTAGCTGGTGGCAGTTGTCACTGCCTGGACAGACCTGTCAGGAATAGGGTTTGGTCTGTGCTGTGCCTGGTTCAAGGGAGGTATTGCAACAGCCCCTGTGTGCAGCAGCTGCTGCCTGGATGTCTGCAGCAGATAGAGAATGGCTCACACAGCTCCACTTGCTGCATTTCAGCCTCAGGCTGTTTCCCTGATCAAGGAGTTCCTCCTTTTGCCATCAGTAGCTGGTATGGCTGGTCGGTTGTGCTGCTCAGCTTGTCTCAAGAGCAACCCTGCAGCCCAGCCCCAGGGCTGCTCCCATGCCAGATCACATGGGTAGGATCCAGTTATGGTGGCAGCAGGCCTCGTGGGAGTCTGGGCAGCAACCGAGCATCTTCCCAGCAGGGCTCATCCTCACTGCTGGGACCTTGTTGTCCTGCAGCCGGGATCTGTAGGTTGGATGCCATCTTCCCCTCCTCTTCCATCACCAGCTCTGCAATGCTGTCCCCATGTCAGTGATGGTGACAGAGCAGCACTGGAAGTGAAACAGATTACCAGGTGGCCTTAGGCAGAGCCATGGTGAAGATCAGAAGGTGAAGTCCCTGTTCCCTCCTGTGGCACCCAAAGGAGAGCTGTTGGCAGAGGTTTTCCTGGGGTTGGCTGCTCCACAGAGCTGTTTTCTTCCTACTGCGTGGTGTGTTCCTTTAGGGGAGCACCAGCAGCATATGTGACAAGCTGTTTTGGAACCAAAAGCATTTTCTATGAGGGAGGGGAAATCTGGAGAAAGTTCACCTTGTGCTGCTGGAGTGGAGATGGGATCCCCCTACCCTCTGACCCTGACCCATGACCAGCATGGAGGTGCCTGGCCAGGGGAGGACAGGGGCACCACAGGGCACATGTGCTTCTGCCAGGCCCTGCTCTCCCCGCAGGTGTTCTCGGAGCAGGGCAGCAGCAGCCCCAGGAGTGCACCCACCTCAGAGCTGTATGACGTGTGCCTGGTGCAGACAGACCTGCTGGAGGCCATTGCTGATGAGGACTATTTCCTGCGCTGCGTGAGGAGGTGCGAGGAGAACTATGACCGCTACCTGGCCTGCATGAAGAAGGACACTCCAAGCCGTCAGTGGGATGGACAGTGATACCACCTCGTGGGGCCAAGGGGCTCCAGAATGGGACACCCCCCACCTTCTACTACGCACAGGCAAAGTCCTGGGCTGGGCTCCTGCTTCAAGCTGTTCCCTCTCCAATGTGCAGTGTGGGCGTTCAGTCCTACCAGGAGCCTCCATGCCCAAACACAAGTGTCCCGGGAGCTTGTGTGATGGGATTCCTGGAGGAAATGGTTTTCCATTCCTTGGCAGCGGTGCCCAAGGTGCCCTTCCTGCATGAGGGCTGGGGCTCACCGTGCCCCTCTGCTCGCCAGGCAGGTCCCTTCCATCCCTTGCACCATGGCTGTGATGCAGCCTCGCAGTTCACACCTCCCTTCCCACTCCTGTGGCGGTGACTGGTGTGGAGCAGGTGCCGGCGTGAGCACAGTGTTATTGGCAGCACCCACGGGTGCCATTTCTGGTGTGATGTTCTCGGCGGATGCCCTGTCACTTCTGCCTGTTTTTAAAGCAAACCTTTTTAGCTCATTTCTGTGTGAGTTTCCTGCCTGCCCTTGCCTCTGCCTGTGCTGGTGGGTGGGAAGTGCCTTTCCTGGCATGTTCATTTGCCTGGCTCAGCCAAGTGGGGACAAAAGTGGCGGTGGAGGGTTTAAGACCCGTGTGCATCTTCCTGACGCTGCTGAGAGACTGTGGCAAGGGTGTGCTCAGAGTGGGGCTGAGCTCATACTCTGTCCCTGCAGCCCTGCAGCAGTGACGGGCCGGGGGGTGCTCTCCTGGGCAGGACGGTGGGTTCTCAGCTCTGTGAGCCCGGCGCTGTGTAGCTCCAGCACCGGCAGCGGGATCTCTCCAGCTCCTCTCCCTGCGGCGGCTCCGTCCCGACGAGGTGAACGCGACAGGGGCACGGCGGACTGGTGGCAGCGGGAGGACCGGGCGGAGGGGAGCGGAGCCCGGAGGGGGAGCCAAGGCGGGCGCGGCGCCGCCCCCACCGGCAGCGGGCGGGCCCGGAGCGGGCGGTGGCGCGGAGCGGCGGGGAGAGCGGCAGAGCGGGCGGAGAGGTGAGCCTGGTCCCAGTCCCTGTCCGTACCCCTGTCCCAGCGACGGGGCGGCGCAGGCAGTCCCGGTACGGCGGAGCGGTCGTCCAGGGGTGCAGGCGAGAGCCTGGGGAGGGCCGGGGATGCGGGCAGCGCAGCGGGAACCGGGGAAGCGCCGGGGGTGCGGGCGGTGCATCGGGAGCCCGGGGAGCGCCGGTGGGTGCGGGCTGCGGGCAGTGCCCCAGAGCCCCGTGGGTTGTGGGATGCAGGCGGGAATCCGGACAGCGTGCGGGCGGTACGCCGGGAGTAAGAGCATCGCGGAGTCTGGACTGTGCACTGGGAGCCTCGGAAGGTGCGGGCAGAGAGAGACGGGCGCGGAAGTCCCGGTGGGTACAGGCTGTGTACCGGCGGCCCAGGGGAGTGGGAGCCCGGAGTGTGGGAACTTCGGGGAGCAGGAGTACCAGTGGGTGCGAGCAGAGAACCCCAGGGAGTGGGAGCCCAGAGGGGGCGGGCGGGGAGCCCCGGGGAGCGGGGTCTTTCGCAGCGCCGAGGGGAGCTGGCTCGCTGGGGCTGGGGGAGCGGTGCATGCCTGGGCGCTGACTCGGATGCTCTCCCCGCAGGAGGCGGTGGGCAGAGCCGGGCCAGTGCCGAGTCAGGCCGGATGGGCGACACAGCGAGATCAGGACCCGGGGACCCCCGGGGCGGCTGACCAGGCCCATGGCGGCGGGCGCGGGCGCCTTCGCGTGGGTCACCTTCCCCTCCATGCCCACGCGGCGCGTGTACTGCAGCGCCGCGCACCGCGACGGGCAGCTCTTCGTGCTGGGCGGCTGCGGGGGCGGTGGGCGAGCCCTGGGAACGGCCGAGGTGCTCGACCTCCCGGCCCAGCGCTGGACCACGCTCCCACCCCTGCCCACGCCGCGGGCTGGCGCTGCTGCCCTCGCCCTGGGCAAGCAGATCTTGGTGGTGGGTGGCGTGGATGCGACGCAGAGCCCTCTCGCCTCCGTTGAGGTCTACCACGTGGATGAGGGCAAGTGGGAGAAGAAGGCGGCACTGGCTCAGCCCTCCATGGGCATCTCAGCTGTGCAGAGAGGTGAGGGATGGGGAGGGTGCCTGGCTGCAATCTGGAGAAGTGGAGATACAGGAGTCAGGGATGCTCAGGTGGGATTTGAATCCCTATGCTGTTTGGGATGCTGCATAAGGCTTTCACCCAGCAGCCAAACTTGCCACTTAATAGTAGGATCATGCTCCTGCCCCAAAAGACAGCCCACTTGCAGCCCAGAAATGAGCAATACAGACCCCCTCCAGGTATGGTTGCCTTCCCCAGCTGCCCTGGCTGTGGGCCATGCTGGGTGGCTGAGCACTCTGCTTGAGCACTTGGTGTGCTGTGCATCAAACATATTGTGACTCCTGCCTAAAGTTTCCTGAGCAGCCTTGGAGCCTTGGCACAGTTTGGCATGCTAGGAGCCAGGTATGTGGTGCCCAAGTCTGCTTCCTGACCAGGGATGCTGTGGCATGGCCCAGGTCGCAGTGGGCTGAGCAGGGCAGAGGGGATGGCAGGACAGTGGTGGGAGCGGGCAGGGGTGCCGGCCACGCTGGGAGCAGGAGCAGGATTTGGCAGAATGACTGTGTTGCCATGGTGTCTCCAGGGAGATGGTACTGCTGAGAATAATTAGAGAGGATGGCCTTGTGCTCTTCTCTGTGTCTGATGGATGGCACAGAGAGGGGGACAAGAGGGTCCCATCAGGATCAGGGCATTGCCAGGCTCAGGCCTGGCTACACCATCCCCTAGCCACCCTGGAACAATGTGTGCCCGTGGGACTCCGCACTGCCTGTGCTACCAGCCCTGGAGGGCACAGGGGCACTCCCAGCCCCATGGTGCTGCCCACAGATCTCCCTGCCTCAACACTGCCTCTTTTGCAGACGGGGCTGTTTACGCACTGGGGGGAATGGGTGCGGACACCTCTCCCCAGGCATTGGTCCGTGTCTATGAGCCGGCGAAAGACCACTGGCAGCCCCTGCCCTCCATGCCCACCCCGTGCTATGGGGCCTCCGCCTTCCTGCAGGGCAACAAGATCTTCGTCCTGGGTAGGTGCTGCTGGGGCAAGCTGAGCATCCCCTGTGTACCTCCACTGCCTCTGGGTCACGGAGTGACCTAGTGCACCCCAGGGCAGCTCCATGCTGCCCAGCACTGCAGTCAGGGGGGCCCCTCTGGCTTGCTGAGCCCACGCTGGGCTGCCCAGCACTGCAGTCAGTGGGGCCCCTCAGGCTTGCTGAGCACAGTGATGGTGCCAGCTCAGGGCACCAGCAGCCACAGCATCTCCTCTGTGCACAGGGGGCCGGCAGGGCAAGCTGCCCGTCACAGCCTTCGAGGCCTTTGATCTGGAGACAAGGAGCTGGACACGCTATCCCAGCGTGCCCAGCCGCCGCGCCTTCGCCGCCTGCGCCATGGCCGACGGCGTCGTCTTCAGCCTGGGGGGGCTGCAGCAGCCAGGGCCACACAACTTCTATTCCCGTCCCCACTTCGTCAACACCGTGGAGATGTTCGATCCCGCCCAAGGTGAGCTCCATGTCCCTGAGTGGAGTGGAAGCATCACCTACGTGTCCAGGATGACTCCTTGGATTGGTGAGGGGTGTCTGCACCTGAGGGACATGATTATGCAGGCTCTGAACATCAGCCCCTTACACCCATGTGAATCCTGCCCTGTGCTCCCTGGTCCCAGGGAGTGATTAACCTGGGGCTGTCGTGGCATCAGTGTGTGGAGAGGAGCCCCAGTGTGTGATGCTCATTCCCTCTCACCCCCAGGTGCATGGAGAAAGCCAAACCGCACCATCCGCATGAGGGAGAAGAGAGCCGACTTCGTGGCCAGCTGCCTAGGAGGAAGAGTGGTGGCCGTGGGTGGCCTCGGTAATGCTGGGGGTAGGCGTGTGGCCATGTTCCCATCCCCATCATCTGTGGCATATCAGTGACCTGCATGACAGTGGAGAGGTTGGCTGTGAAAAGCCACGGAGGTACTGCAACACTGTCTGCATCTGCATCCCTTTTGTGCCCTTCAAGTTCTGAGAAGACCCTACTGCCCTGTCCCAAAGGCTGCCCCACTGAGCCCCTTGCTCCTTTCACCTCCAAACTAGGCTTTTTCCAGCTCATGTGCAGTGTACCGGGCTCACAGCCCACAGTGGCTCAGCCCCACTGTGCAGGGCTGCAGCACTGCATCCCTCTCCCAAGAGAGTTGGGGAAAGGTTAGTGCTGTCACTCAGCAGCAGGGATGCAGCAGGAAGGGCTGTCTGGGGAGCCTGGTGCCAGCCATAACACCCCCAGCCCTGCAGTGAGGGCTGCCAGACCCCTCAGGCTCACCCAGGGTGAGCTGGGCAGGAGGAGGTGATGGGGAAGGCAATTGGTGCTGGCTGAATCCCTGCGGTGTGGCATTGTTCCTGAACCCTGCCGCTGCTGGAGCTGCCCTTCCTTATCCCTGCGGAGTGCCGGCACAGGGTGGGCAGAGCCAGCAATGCGGCATTAATGCCAGCAGCCCTCCCTGTGGGGATTTGGCTAATCCTCTTGTTCCCCCACTAATTGCCTCTGGGATCTCAGAGCCCCCGCAGCCCAAGGCTCCTGTTGGGATATTAGAGGCATGCAGAGGGGGAAAGGCAGACACTAGGGGGTGTGTGGGGGGAGATGCAGGGGGTTCTGATGCCATTCTATCTCCCACAGGGAACCAGTCCTACCCACTGGACTCAGTGGAAGGGTTCAGCCCCTCACAGAAAAAGTGGGAACCACTTCCCCCCATGCCCACGGGCCGCTGCTCCTGCTCCAGCTGCCCAGCACCTGGCCTGCTCTTCCTCATCGGTGGAGTGGCCCAGGGCCCCAGCAGTGCTGTCGAGGCTCTGTGCCTGCGTGAGGCGCCCTGAGTGGGGCCCTGGGAGCCAGCCCCAGCCAAGCACCAAGTGCCTGAAGACGGGGACAGGGTGTGTGAGCACCCATGCCTGCGAGTGACCTGGCTCCAGGGAACTGCAGTCCCATGACATTGGACATGAGAGCAACTGCAGTTTTGGAAATCCCTCTTGGCTCCTGTAGTGCTGTGGTGATGGAACCCAGGGCAAACTCCTGCCTGGTGGGACGGCCATGACCAGCAGTGTGGAGGGAACGGCGGTGGCGGGACTGTCGCTGGCCTCACTGCCCTGTCCGGCCCCGGCCGTGCCGCGGCGTGTCCGTACCGTGTGTGTAGCAGTGAGTGCTGTGTCGTCGTAGACCCAGTCAATGTCTCATGTAGCACAGAGGTGCCCTGTAGCTCAGTGCCTGGGAGGTGACGTAGCACCTTGAATAAATGAAACACGTGGAATTTTACCCCACAGGAGTCGTGTTGTCCGTGGTTATCCTACTCCAAGCAGAGACATGCTGCAGCCTGTCAGGAAAACCCCTCCCAAGGGAGAGCCCAGTGAGCCTTTCCCTGGCAGGACCTGTGCTGTGGGGTGGGGATGGCTCTTGTTCTTCTCCCCACTGCCAGGGTGAGCAGAGCAATGTGATGTTAGGATCTGGCCCCCTTTTGGAGAGGGGGAGCTGGGCAGTGGCTGTCCTGCATTGGCACAGCCTTGCTCCTGCTTGGCCTCTCCTGTGGTGGAAGGGGCTGCAGGGGATGAAGGCAGCAGCAGGAGAGGGGCTTTGCTGGAGAGAGCTGAGGTGTGAGCGAGGCAGGAAATGGAGATGGCTGCCAGGATCCTGAGAAATAAGATGAGATGCCTAGTGTCAGCTTCTGGGCCCCATCCAGCACCACGGCCCAATCTCAAAGGATGGACTGCGGCTGGTGTGTGGGAGAGTTGGATCCAGCTGTGGCCAGCTCCCCTATGCAGGGACACCACAATCCTGCTTACAGGCAATTGGGAAGTGAAGGTGGTGTCTGTGGGTGATATTTAGGGGTGTACCCTAAACACAGTGAGACCAGTGGGGGGTGACCCCCAATTACCCAGTGCTGTGGGCTCACATGAGCCTTGCTGGTCTTGGCTCCGTCCAGAGTCCTGCACCCAGAGCAGAGAGAAGCAGTAGTGGATGCAGGTGAGGGATTCGATCTTTAACTGGTACGACATTAGAAAGATCTCACAAGTCCGGGTAAATATCAAGCACAGATGCCTGACCTTTCAGAGGAGACAGCTGGCATGATCCTTGTTGGGCAGCAGGGCCGTAGAGACAGAAGGCTGAATCCCGTCGGAGTGCAGCAGCATCCGGCACACTGCTGGGGCAGGCTGAGCCGTCTGCCGCGGGCGTCACAGCGTGGGGAAAGTTGGAAATGATTCAGAAAAGAGCATTCACAAGATGTTTTCAGTGCCACTGCCCCATTGCTTCTGCTGCCCACCTGGCAGAGTAACCACAGGGTCCATCCTGATGTGCTGCGTGGCTGTTTGCGTGTGATTTGGGAGAAACAACCTGGGATACCTGGGCTGGTGGTACCTCAGCTAGAGGCATCCCTGCATCTGCCTTGGGTTGCCATAGAAACCACTACTGTGCCAGAGCCAGCATCAACAGTGAGCCCCAAATTAAAGACTGAGCTGTACCTCAGCATCCAGGAGGATGCTCTGGCAGCGAGGGGAGAAGGTCAGCAGCTCATGTTATGAGGGGAGGCTGGACAGAGGGACCCCCTCTCTGAACACAATGTGCTCCAACCTTCTACGAATATTTCACAGCACTCCCTGACCTGTGCTCAGCCCCATTGGGCTGGTCCTTCTCAGGGTCCTGGGAAGTGACAAACCCCTCACTGCCACCTCGCTACTTCTCCCCACCCTGCCAGCCCTTTCCAGAAGTCACCAAGGCATGCAATAATTCCATTCTCACTAAAACTTTAGTCATGGGGGACCCTAAATCATGGAGCTGCACTGGAAACACAGACTTGATTAATAAGCTTTTCCCTCAGGAGCATCGCATGAATGGGATAAATCATGACGCTGAGTCACCGGCAAATTGACATCCCTGCGTGCCAAGCTCCCTGCTGCTGATGGGGTGCCCTGAGCTCTTTTCCAAATTCAAGGCGATGGTGGCTGCAAGAGCCAGAGGATGCTGGAGGGGGAAGCTGCAGTTCGGGAGCTCATCACTGTTGTGGTGTTTTCAGCAGCGAAAGTGGCCGGGACAATGGCCAAGGTCATCTCAGGAATGGAGAGATCTTCAGGTAAAGGGATGAGGGTCCTCACCACTTTTGGAGACTGACACATTATTAACTGAAGAGCTCCCATGAGTTTTTAACGAGATGTGCTATGAAGAAAAAAAAGTCGAGGGACGTACCAAATATATTGCCGTCTATCTCCTGGCAGCTTCTGCTAATTTTACTGAAGGAAGGACTTTAAGTACCTGGCCACCCTCCCTAACGCTAGAAGCACAGGCTGTTACTTCAGATATAAGGAGACCTACAGTGCCTGGCAACATGGTTAATCTCCCCAGAGTGTGTTTTGGATGGGGGAGACGGAAATGGAGGGAGCTGTCAGACCTATAATTAAAAAAATATGTTTCTGTATAGAAATTTCTTTTCGTTGTCAGGAGAGATGGAAATACAAAAATCTCATTTATCATGTTCCACAAACTTGGTAGACGCTCATGCCAGAAAGCTACAGCCACATCAGAAACAGGAATAGCTCCCTATAATTACATAAAATAACATGTTGAGCCTTATCGTCGGTGAGCAAAGCACGAGCAAATCCTTTTCTGAGGGTAGTGGAAATACTGTAAATGGGTACAGGGCTCTACAGTCTCTTCTGCAGGGAGATCTGGGCCAGCTTTCCAATTGTAAGCAATAAAATGATGGAAAATCACCATTATCAGTGCAGGGCCATATAGGACCCGGACGCACAGCAATGCTCTTGACAGCAGTGCCATTCACTGGGCTGTACAACAGAGTCATAGGCAGTGCAGGAGCAGAACAAGGCTTTTATTTACTTAAAAAGTGCAATAATCATCAATATTCCTGTCAGCTTGGCTCTCTGGAGGAAGGTTTACCTTCCAGTCCACAGCCACCTTGGACAGCCCAGCCATTATCCCACCCCTGAATCACGATCCAAGCTGTGATTCCCCACTCTGGTCCTAGAAAATCAACTTGTTGGATGCTCCTCATGCATCTGAGAATTACCAAGTTGTCTTGCTAAATCCGAGCTATTTAAAGCAACCCTAGTGCTGTAATGCCAAGCAAAAACAATGCAGATAAGTCACTCCAATAAGTTTTTTATGGGTAAAAGACCAGAATTTTTATTTTCTTTTTTAAATGAAAGCTCTGTTTCTGTGGAATTTGATTAGGAAACCAGATATACACATCAGGAAAACCATTATTTTGACACTTCTGAACTCCAGGCTGCCTTTAATATGAAAGGCAAAAGAGGATAAAGGGGAATGCAAGTATTTCCTCTGATCTATCCATGACTTAATGTCTACCTTATTTTTACAGTGATTTAGTGCTTATGGAGTATCTTCAGAGCCAGCAACAAAACATTTTAACTAATATTGGGATAGTTTTGAATTAAAGGAGGAAAAATCAGGCAAACAAGTGTGCCTGTTTTACATTCTTAAAGATGGAGGATACAGAAGCACAAGGGAAAAAAATCCAGTGAAACCATATTTGAGAATCTTTCTCTGGGGAATGTTTAGATGATGGGTTATTTTTGTCATACTTCTAATGGGTGAAATTGAATCATTCTGCATTTCTGCCAGAGATATTTACACGAGAGACCACACAGTCTCTGGGTATGAAGGAAATGAGCACTGTGGCTGCTGTTCTCCCACGGGAGGTGCCCTCAGTGTCCCACACTCCAAGCTTCCTCTTCCTCCCCATGCCCTGTGATGACTCCCTGTGCCCAGGATTATGCTCCCAGGTGAAGGGCAAGAGCTGGCCTGTGGAGAGACTGGAACTGGGGTTGATCCTGGGTCCATGGCCATGAGCTGAGAGCCAGATACCCCCACCTCTGAGGTGAAATCAATCCCCAGCTCAGGGTGACCCCAGGAACCCTCAGCCTCAGGGAGAGATCCGGGGACCCTCAGCCCTGGGGTGACCCCAGGGACCCCTCCAGGACCCCAAGGCCCCTCAAGCCGTGGGGTGAGATCTAGGGACCCCCAGACCTAGGATGAGATCCAGGGACCCTCAACCTGGGGTGACCGAAGGCACCCTCAGCCCCAGGGTGACCCCAAGACCGTCTGCCTCAGGGTGAGATCCAGAAACTCCCAGCTCTGGGGTGAGATCCCAGGACCCCAGTCCAGGGTGACCCCAGGGAACCCCAGGCCCACAGTGAGATCCGGGGGCCCTCAGCCTCAGGGTGAGAGTCAGGCACCCCCAGCCCTGAGGTGAAATCCAGGAACCTTCAGCCCCAGGCTGAGCTCAGACACCCCCTAACCCTGAGGTTAAATTCAGGAACCCTGGGCTCTTGAGGCCCTCAAGGCCCCACAGGGTGGGCAGGCCCAGTGTGTGGCTGCCCCAGGCCTGTGGAGACCCTCAGACCGGGTCTGTCTTGGACCTGCAGGGCTGTGTCCTGCTGGGCTGTCCCCCCGACCACAGGACACAGGAGACGCTGCCCCAAGCAGGGCTGGTCTCTCCCTCCACGTCCTTCCTCCCTGCAGGGCACTGTGGCGCCATGGCGGCCACCAGCGGGGACAGGCCATGAGGGCCGGGGCCATGTTGAGGGCCAGGGGCTGCCCGCCAGGGTGTCAACCCTGAGAACAACATGAACTTCAACGTCTGGAATATCAAGGAGATGCTGAGCATGCCGACAGCCATGGGGTGAGTGGGAGCGTGGAGCGTGGGTTGACGGACAGGGGACGGGGCATGAAACCAAGCACATGGTGAGGGTGATGGTGAAGAGGTGAAACATGTCCAGAACTGATCTATGGCTGATTATGGGAGGCTGATGGGAGTTCATTGGTCTCCCCTGTGATCCTGTTTGTGCCCCCAGCCTGCCAGGAACTGCCACAGATCCACCATTGCTGGGGATCTAAAAGCTGACATTGTCTGGAAGCCATACCCTGGTCCATTCGGGGTGTATTTGGTGAAGTCCTGTGACCTGTCCTTGTGTCATTAGATAGGTTAAATTTTTCTGTCACCTGTGCAGAGGGCAGATAAAATGAAGTGTGATGTGCAATATTATTACACATTATGTAACTTGAAAATTATTCCATATCCTGCATTTATACGCATGGCTTGTTTTTTTCCCAGCAGGAGCCAAAGAGCAGCTAGAACTCCCCACATCTACAGCCCATAGTGAAACAACAAATATTCAGATGTAAACATCTGAAGGGCAAATATGTAAGACAGGCTGCATTTTGTACAGCAGAGCATCACCTTTCGTATCACATGACTGAAAAAGACAGCAGGATTTATCCCCTGTTTGACTCTGGAGAAGTTAATTGGTGAATTTGGTGCTCTGAGCCTCTGTTAGTTAAATAACCCACTTATATAACTAACTTGTTCAAATTCACAGTTTTAGTCATACTGTCTCTTTGGCCAGATGTTACCACAATGATGGATGATAATGAAAGCATAATAGTCATTTCCTTGCCAGTTATAAACATGCTTGTCATAGATATGAATTAATTGAATTTTGCACAGATGTAGGGGTCAAAGGGGAGCCAATTCAGGGAAAAATTGTGTTTATACCTGTCATAGTTTTGTCTTTATAACTGTGCATTACTTAATTCTATTGCGTTCTTGGTATCTGCAGATTTACTGTGCTTGTTTGTTTGTTTGGGGGGGTTGTTTGTTTTCATGAAGTTGTTTCTAAGTAGTTTGAAAACCTGAGACTTTCTTTCTGGTCAGAGACTGAGCAGGGTAAATTTAGATAAAATATAAAAATTACATATTATATACAAAATATATAATTACATTCTCATATTATATATGACATATTTTTAAATACATAAATAATTCAGTGGAGTCATGCAATAGGAAAGGAAATGAGTGGAAGAAGTACAGGTGCCTGTTTGGAAAGGGATCACTTGAATTCCTTCCTCCTCCAAAGTATCCTATCAGCTACGAATTCTTCCCTTTTAACTCGTTTATTAACGCAGGAAGAAAATACATACAAGATTTTAACACCCACTCCTCAGCATTCCACATTCTTTACAGGGTCAAATAGGGCATAAAACATTACTGGAAATGCAGCTGGGTTTTTGGAGGAGTTAAGAAGGGGGAGAAGTTCTCTGAGGACAATTAACTTTTTCATAAGGAAAGAAGAGTGTCCCATAGTAGTGTGTGAATGTGTGTGTGTATTTGAAATAGGGGAAAAAGGTGTGGATTATTTTTCCCTGGCTTATTTCTGTTACTAGAAACCTTTCCCATCACAGCAGGGTATGCTGTATAATCCCCAGAATACTGTCTTGCAGGGAGCTTCAAAAATGAAACATAAAATCAGCGTATAATCTAGGCAGAGTATGACTCACTCTGTGAGTTCTTTGCAAGTTTGAGTCAGGGTGTTACTTCTGAGAGCAGCTGCCACCAGGTTCCCAGGAAATGCAGAGCTTTGGTGATGCATTGCCCTCACGGCCACAGTTCTGCACAAGCCCGAGACTGCTCTGGGTTTTATTTGTTGTCTGTCAGCCACGCACGTGCTTCTCTGTAACCCTGGCAGCCTGAGAAATAGGGTGGGGGGAACCAAAGTCCCTCTTTCACCTGGTTTTATGTATGAATGTTGACATAATAGAGATCTTAGAAATTTATCAGAGGGAAGGTTGTCTAGTTGGACAATAATATCAGGGTGCCAGTTACTTAAGAGGGTGGGAGGGGGCCACACGACAGCTGTAATGGAAAAGCTTATGCTCAATTGAAGTGTATTGACAAACAACACGGTTTTTGTGGATCGAAATGCCAGATTTCATTAGGGAAAGTGCCGTGTTACAGCAGCGCTGCCGCCTGCCCAGCCAGGAGGGCTGATGGAAAAAGATCGCAGAGAATGCAAGAACAGCAGCCACAAAAGCAGCGATGCTTCAATCAGCCTCTGATCGACTGGATAAGCATCACCAGGGTGTGATGCTGAGGTACAATCTCAAAAACCATAAATACCTACCTTGGCCAAGGGGAGCTCACAGGGAAAGAGACACATCTTGCCTTAGCCTTGAGCTGAGCACAAGATCTACGTTCAGGCTATTTGCTCTTGTAGTGCTACCATGAGAGTGGCAGTAGGGAACTGGAGTCAGCATCTCTGCAGGAGCAGCAGAAGCCAAAAAATCCACTACTGTTAATTAAAAAAAGACACTGCAATAATAATAAGGAAGCTCATTAAAAATAAATTAAACCGTACAGCCAAAAGGGTTAAATGCTTGCCTGAGACATAAAGATTATTTAGACTTGTTTATTTAGATTTGAAATTGAAGTTATGAGAATTTTCTTGTTCCATGAGAAAACAAGTAACTTGCTAAATGCATAAAGGCTAATCATATACCAACTTCCAAATACATCAGAAGCAGAAAGCCTGCCAGAGAGTATGTAAGGCCAAGAAACTATGAAAATATTAAAGAGGCGTTCAAAAGGGATGCTGGAAGTTAAAGCCTACTTGGGTCACTACTCTCTACGGCTTATTTCTGCTGTTGAGAATAACTTCCAAATTAAACAACCTCATTCAATCCATTATCCCATGAAATTCCATCCTGCATCACAAGGTTGCATATTTTGAAGTTGCCTTAAGGTCCCAGAATAAGCAGAAAACGAAGGAGACAGCCAGGACAAAGACCAGGAGAGCAGCTGTAAAATTCCAGAACCTCTGAGGAATGAGAAACCAGGGCTGTAAGTGCAGGCTGGAAAATGGCTTCAGACTGGAGTGAGGGGTGCAAAAAATCCCCCCATCTCCAAATGTCTAATCTTAATATGTGTGGGGATGCATTTTGTGGGAGCAAAAACGGCTGCTCCGTGGAAATCTCAATCTCCTCCTAAGGAAAGGACCCTGTTGCAACTGACAACCAGCTCAGGACAAAGGGCTTATGTGGTTTCCAAGGTGAGGGACGTCTGGGCAGTGTTGAATCACAGCTGAATGAATAATAGAGTGGCTCATAGAAAGTAAAAATGACCTTGAGGAATTGAAACAAGACCAGACAGACTTTCAGCCTGAAATCTGGAAACTGGAGGCAGTGTTTGAGCTAAATAACTGAGAGGGATTTTGTTGTGCTTAATGCATTAGGGTCAGTGTCAGATTATGTTTGTAGAAATTCCTTTTAGGATATGGTGAAAATGATAGGAAGCAGAATAATAATTTTCTACTGCGACTGTTCCCAGCGAAGAGATGGCAAATGGCTGGAGGCTGCAACAGCAGCTAAAACTCCTTTATTTAAACTCCTCCAGTTCCCCTGCACCCAAAGCCAAGGCTCATCCTTGCTCATTTGCTGGGCACATTGGCAGGCAGCAGATAGTGAGGATGAGAGTAGCATAGCAGAGCTAGAGACAGTTCCTATAGATACAGGCTAAAGCCAGGAGGAAGAGCAGGTGAACGTCAGCTCCTGGAATTTCAATTGGGTTTGTTGTGATTCAGCCCTGGTCCCTAAATGAGGAGGACCAGAAAGGGCTGGGAGATTTGCTGGAGGGGAATCAGGAGAAGAAAGACTTGATGACACTGATCCTACTCAAGGTTGCTACCAGGAGAAAAAGATCTCTTCTTTGGGAAGAGGCTTTACTGCACTTTGAAGAAATGTGTCAGTAAGGTGTAAGTGAGCTTCACCCACAGCACTTGGGAAGAAGAGGGATGTTGGCACAGGTTCAGTGGAGATGACAGAACCACAGAAAATCCCTCACAGCAATGTTGCAGATAAATGTTATGTTGCAAATTATAGAAGTCTCAGATTGCTTTTCCAAATGACTCTTAAACCTTGGTGTTGGCACGTAAGGATGGATCCAAACAAGAGAGTAAAATTACCAGTTTTTAAAAAGACTGATAAGGCCTATGACAATTTATAGTTATGAATTTTTAGTTTGTCAATGTCACTAGAACATCCAAGATACACAAGAAGAGAGTATTTGTTGCATAGTGTGTTTCTGTTTGGAGAGGCAGAACCTTTGAATGAAAGGTGAACATTTGCATATGGTTGTGCTAAAATATTTAGAGTGGAAATCAGAACTTAGAAAAATGAAAGAAGTTCCTAAAAGATCTAACTCCTGTCACAGAGGGAGAATTCTAACTGACAACAGGGAAACAGAGACTGTGAAGATCTAGTTGACCCCTCAGATATGCAGAAGGCTGCAGATTTTTTAGATCACGCTCACATCACGAGAGAGGGTTGGAGCTGCCAATATTGCAATACCTGGCATAAAGCTAGGTGGAAAAAAGCAGTCGTTCCACCAGTCAGCAGCAGATGATTTACCATTTTTTGAGCTGACAAGAACGCTTCTTACATATCTAAAGCTGGTTTTGCTTTGGACACACATGCTAGTGCCAATACCATAGGAGTGTCATGGGCACAAACACACAGAGGATTTGGGGAATGGCTCGTGTTAGCAGAAAGCTAAAAGCTCTCCTAAGGTAAACTATTGCATCACTGGAGGGACTGCTAACTGGGATTGCATATCTAGGATGTTTCCTTGCTCTTTATAGGGAAGAGTTTATATTTAGGACAGAGCATGTATCCCTGCAGCTCAGGCATCCTGAAGGGAATGGTCAGGTGGTAAGAAGAGCTGCAGTTGCCTGATCATGGATCTGATCCCAGATCTGACCATGGTTGTCTGATCTCTCCATCAGAGACAGGACTGGGCCAACCATGGCTAGGCTCCTGGCTTGCCCAGATGGTCTTGTTAGTTAATTAATTGCCAGCAGTGTTAAGCAAGGGAGAAAGAAATCCATTGCTCAGGGGAATGAGTGTATTCAAAAGGGACATCTGTTTTGTCTCCTCCCCTAATTTGCAGAAGTGCCATCATTCCTAAAGCAACTGCTGAGGTAGTGGACTTAAGACAGAAAAACTGGGCTTCAGAGCAGCCAGCAGCCACCTTTGGTTGTAGTGGAGAGTAAGCCTGGGAAGTCATTTGGCTCATAAAGTCCTCTCAGCTCAATACTCCTCAAAATACTGGTCATGAAACCCTTTGTTACAAGAATCTTGTGCTTCAGGTATTAAGTGATGTGAAGGATCTGAGAAAACAAGCACATTGTGGGGTGTCATATTCACCAGTTGTAGCAGACACTTTCAAAGGGGGGTTGTCAAGACAGTAAAGCACTTAAGGATTATAAAAACCCTGCCTTAAACTAAGAGGGAGGTTTTTTGGCGAGAAGACAGGAGGATTTAGAAAACTGGTACAGAAGATGTGCTACTCACATTGCAGGCAGGGGCTCTGCCTGTGTGGGATCATGGCAGCCCATGTGCTCACATCTCTCCCCGACATCCTGGCTGTGGATTAAGAAAATTTATTTTTTTTTACAAAGCTTAGCTGAGATGGAAACAAGAAGCTGTGCTAGTAAAAATTATATTCAGATTTGGTGTCCAGAGAGAGATCAAGGGAGAAGTTTTGAATTCAGAGAGATTCATCAGGCTTTTTGAGAACCCAGAAACCCATACCTCATCTATTTTTGCCTGCGGCTCAGTGTACTCGGTTAGCTTAAAGCCAAAAGTATTAATATGATATTGTCAGTGACACCACTATATAATGAAGAAGGAGACTGAGCACTTCAAATACTGCTGCTAAATCCCTTTCCTGTTGTGTCTATGATGTTTGGGCTCCTTCCAAAACTGGGGATTAACCAAACACATCACTGCTAATAAATGTTGGGGTGATCATCTCTTGTTATACACATTAATTACTCTCCCGTTCTGTTTCCTTTACTTGTATCATTTGATATGAAAGAAAAACCGTAAGAGACTTTTTCATTAATTTTGGTCTCTAATTCCCAGCTCCAAAGGCAGCAACAAACCCCTCCTTCTTAGTAGCTCAAAAAAACCAAGAACTGAGAATATAAACCTGGCCAAGCTTTTCTTGTGTTTGGACCTAGCCTAAGCACTCTGCCAGACCTTGTGGATATGGAGCAATGGAATAGCGATAATTTAGACTGAAAGAGGGTAGATTTAGATTAGATGTTACAAATAAATTCTTTCCTGTGAGGGTGGTAAGGCCCTGGCACAGGTTGCCCAGAGAAGTTGTGGGTGCCCCATACCTGGAAGTGTTCAAGGCCAGGTGGGATGAGACTTTGAACAACCTGGCCTAGTGGAAGGTGTCCCTGCCCATGGCAGGGGCCTTGGAACTAACCGATCTTTTAAGTCCCTTCTAACCCAAACGGTTCTATGATTCTATGCGAAAAATGAAAGAAGTGTGTATTTTTGCTAACAAAAAATTGAAGGTAGCCTCCAACACAATGAGAAGCAGTGCAGCTGTGCAGAGAAACCCTTGTCTGAGGGAAGGTGGTCCTGTGCCGTAAGCCTAGTCCATAAAGAAGGAGATGACATGTCTCTGAAGAGGAGTACAATCAGAGCAACACAGCACAAAGTCAAGGCTAGCTGGGAAAGATTTATTTGGGCAATGTCCAGGGAAAAGAGGAGCACTTTTGAGTAGCGTGTTACTGTGTTTGAAATATTTCTAACAACTCAGATCAGTTTGTCCAGACATACGCTACCTATTTATTTGTTGTTCAAGTGTGTCAGACTTAAGGCATCTGGAGAATAAATGCCCAAGAAATGTCAACTATTAGTCATAAAGTTTTATTCTGTTGGAATAGCCTTCCAAATACCCAGCGCCTGAGTTACAACAGAATTTATTATCCAGAGTAGTTGAAAGAGAGAGACCCAGCACTGGCTAGGAGCAAACCCCAAGGTGTCTCTTTAGCTAAGACTGATCGGCATGGCAGGTAGGATGAGCTGCCCAGTCCTGGCTTTTTTAGTTTCCTGTCTGCAGGACTTGCTGGAGAAATACCTTCACCCCTGCAAGGTGAATGTGGAGCTACAACACTGTGTTTGTGTGGATGTGGCAGTTTAAGATAAGCCAGTTTGTTTATCTTAGAATTAAACCTTATGCCATTATAGGAATGGTTCTTTCCGAGTGGAGAGGGAAAATTAACATGTTGGGGTGGGCCATGATTGAGCGGTTCCAGCAGGCCATGTAGGGAGTTCCATTTGGCCTTTTAATTCCTTCAGGCTCATTCACACCCCTCTCCACCCCATTTCAGGCCTAACAAGTGTTCCATGAGGAGCAGCACTGCCAGTGACTACTCGAGTTTGAGCGACTCTCAGCTGCTCTTCGGCTCCCAGTTCTGCCCGGAGAACGTGCAGTCGGCAGCGGCACTGCTGGAGCTGGGCTCGCAGCCGGGACAGCAAAACTCCCAGGACGTGAGTCTCGCTCTCCTTCAGCCCTGTTCAGGCACACAGCCACCATTCAAAGTTAATGGAAAATCCTGAGACGTCAGGTGGTAACATTTGCAAGTGTCAGTAACTGCTGGAATCAAGTTATCTTCTTGCTACATATATATATTTACTGTGACAAGACAAAGTAGTAGCCTGGTAGGATGAAAACCTGATATTTATAACAGATTACTATAAATTGTTATTGAGATAGGTATTATTTTCTTGAATCACATTTTGAAAGTTACTAAAATAATATGAAATTATTCTTGAGCTAAAGTCTTTAGACCACCTACCTAGCCAAGCTAGAATATTACATCTATTGCTCGTTGAAAAATGCTGTGTTTCTCTTCCTTAGTTTTCTGCAAGAATGACAGAGCTGCTCAATATTTATTTCCTTGGACTGGCAATGACCTTCCTGTATTGTTGTTATGGGAGATGATGAGTGATTTTGGGCTGGGGTGAAGAGCTTCTATGCTTAAAATCTTTCTCCCAGAGCACATGGTTTCTGATGTTACTAGGCTCACTGAAATAGGTCCTGCGTTGCTAACAGAGAGCACCAGATCTGAATAAATACACCTGAGAGGAAAGATTAGGAAAGAGCAGTGGTGCCAGCTTGGTGGCCCCAGGCTGTCCTTCAGTTCCAGATGCTGTCTGCTGTCCTCTGCATTTTGCTGAGGAGCAGCTTTTCATCAGACACAAAAAAGGAAATTCACTCTTTACAAAGGAAAAAATGAATGGAATTTGCATTTTCTTATGTTTTAAAGAAAAGGCATTTCCATTTTGGTCACAGTGTCTGGAAATTTTGTAGAATGAAGCTTTCATAATAACATTAAATTTCTTGTTCTGAAATGTGTATTGAAGCATGTGAAAAATTCATCTACAGTCTGTCGATGTTGCTATTTGGCAGCAAAATTATGTCATCCACCAGGAAATTCAATGGGATTTTCTTTAGATTCCTGTATAGGGTGCTTCTTCTGACAACTTCGACTTTTCCATAATTCCAGGAACACTGGAATTCGTTTATAGTCTCTGTGTTGAACAGAGAGGGGAAAAATCTACACACCTTATGATTGTAACAAACTGGAAATCCTCAAAATGAGAGAAAAGCCTGAGTCTGGAGGAGTTTGGGCTGAGTCTCAGTTCCAGAGGGAGTCAATCTAACCAGGCACACTAAATGAACCATAATCTCATGAAATTCTTAATCTCCCTGTCCAATCTAATCTGTCACGTCCAATCACTGTGATCTCTGTCTGCAAAGCATTAGGCACACAAACGGGTTTTTCTAATTAATGCTCTGATTATTTTTATACTTCAACATTTTTCTTTTGTTTGTGCAACAGAGTGAGCCCAGTATTTTTACCAAATACCAGACAAAACCACAGTTATTTGATGAAGAAACAAGAGAAAAAGGTTTACTTAATCTTAGCACAGGAAGAGTGAAAAGTGTCTTGGAAAATTTTGAAGTGAATAAGAACAAAATAAAGGACAAATATGACCGGTATGTAGACATCCACTGGAAATTCTTTCTGTGCCGATGGTTATCACTCCCTGCAGCTCCTTCTTCCCCTCTTACAAATCATACATGACAAAGCTGCATATTTCTCCAAGAAAAGTATCTTTCCAGGTTTTAAATAATTTCTGATTGGAAAGAGTCACAGGATAAGAGAATAGGGTTTATTTACAATGTGATTTATGTAACACAGTCAACCATAAGCCCCGAGGAATAACAAAACACTAACCTGAATTTACCTTTGTCCTTCTTTTTTTAATCAGTGGGGGTTTTTTTCTTTATTGATTCTCTGTGAAAGTCTTTATTTCTCAAAATTTCATAGACTGTATGAGGACTGATCAAAAGGACTCTGAGGCCAACCTTCACATTTGGCCCAAGTGGGAGGATTGCCAAACACACCTGTGTACAGATTGCACCTTTATAAACCTGTACATATCTCTAGAATTGTATTTGTATACAAGGTTTTTACGTGTTGGTGTTTTTTTTTTTTTGTAACAGACAAGTGTAATTTGCTAATGTAATTTGCATCTGCTCTTTGTTAAATGTCAAGAATTAAATGTACATGTAGGTCCTAGAGGACTTTAAGGAACAAGCTAACCATTTGAAGCTCAAAAATTAAAGATGGCAAACTCCCCAGTGCACCTATAAATAATTCTTAGCACATTAGTTACATTTTATAATGTACCATCCACAGTGAAGAGTGTTTTTATTAAAAGCCTTTGATCAAATCAGGCTGTGTATCTCTCTCGCCTTTGCAATGGGCACTATGCTTCTGATAAGGCAAAACTGACTCTCTAGTGCCTATTAGAGAAGAGGAGGATTTTTGTAAGTGAATTATACAAAATGAAAAAATAGTTTTAAATGTTTAGGCAGCATTCATAATTACCCTTTATTTTTTCATTAAACGGATTATGCTCCTTCCTACACTCCAGGCTCACTCCCAGATTAGAAACCTGTTTGTAGAGATAGCTATATTATCTTTGCAAAGATAAGCGTCTAATTTATCAATTTGTACCCCCCGCAAGTTTGACTAAGAAAATTAGTATCTTCCTTTCCATAAAGCTAGAGAGGTTTCAGAAGCACTGCCTAATTCTCATAACTAGAATCTACCCGGCCTCCATCTTTTTGGTTGTTGTAATTTGCAACACTAAATGATCGACTTAAACTGACTGGAACCTTCAGAGAGGAAAAAGGTTATCACTTTGCTTAGCAACCACCCGTGCATTCGGGTGTGGCTGGTTAATCATGAATAAAGCCTGGTTCCTGATAGGCTCGCTCAGTTTAAAAGGATGGATAACAGAAACCACAGGCTTAATCTCAGGAGAAAAGGATTTTCAGTATTTGTTCTTCCTGACTTGGGCTTTGTTGAGGCTGGAGCTTTTCCTGTGTTTTTCCCACAGTTGTTTTAGTCCAAATATAATACCATGTATCACAGCAACTGGCACATCACCTCCGCCCAGGCTGGGTCCTTCCGGAGCAGATAACACAGTGATAACACCCCAGGAGCTAATGGACAGTTGGGTAAATGCCAACTAAAACTTCTGAGAGAGGCATGAATGCTAAGGCAAAGTATCAGAGAGTAAAAACCCCATAATTTCATGTATATTACATATTTGTGCATGTGTGTCTATGCATTTTTTTCTTACTCCACATAGCAGAGCCCACGCTTTCCTAAAACAACTAAGGTGACTTTGAAGGATTATGCCTCCTGAAGTAACCATGTTTCTGTGCTTTCATTATACACTACACTGTGCCTTGCAGTGTTTCATGTCTCATTTTTACTATGATCTTTTCAATTTCTGTACACTCCAGTAACTTACATGTCTGGTTTATACTTGTTGGAGTTTTTTTTCATTTTAGTGAGGTCCTAAGCGCCTTTATTTCCAGTACCAAAGACAGGCTTCAAGGGGTAAGTTATTTCAAATTCAGAATGTAGAATAATGAAGAGTTAGAAATGCTGCAGAATGTTCACTTTCTCTCCTTTACTGTGATGATATTTAAAATATATATCTTGAGCACTCAAATACTTTAAACCAACAATTGGAAATTTTTTTTTGCATACACCATTGTCTTTGTGGCCTGTCCTTAGGATTAAGGTCTTTAGGGTCTTCCCTCAGAGCCAGCAGTGGAATTTCTCTGGGTTTCATGAACAAAAACAAACTGTAGTGACTATCTGCAAATATCAGCTCTTTTTTCCTTCTACCTGAAGAAAGTAGTCTGTTCTCAGGATTAGTCAATGTGTTCTGAAGGTGAAGGTCTGTCCCTCAATATTTTTATAATTAATTTGATTAGTTATTATTAATGCTATTTTACAGACCATTATCTCTTTTTTTTTTTTTAAATCTGTTAAGATTTCATGAGCCTTTTGAGCAATTCCAGATCTCCTTTGGGATTGCAACCAACAGCTGGACAAATTGTTTCAAGATAGATAAACAATCATTTTCAGACTGTTCCATTCCATGAGTTGCTGTCATTGTTCTCTGGCATCTGGTGCTGTGATTTTGCAAACAAACAAAAGGCAATGCATTCATTTTTTCATTTACCTTTGGTTTTTTGCAGCTGCAAGCACGCTTGGACAAGTTTGAAGAAATGTCTGATTCCAGATACAAATCCATTTTGGTTCACCTAGAAACCCTTTCCAAGAAAAGTAAGTCCTTCCTGTGTTTCTGTTAACAGCAGAGGGCACAGTCAAACGGCTGAATGTCAGCCTGTTGTCTCCAGGCTGGGGTGAACTGGGCAAGTCATGCCACCCACAGCTGCTCTCCCTAAAGGAGGAGAGAAAATAGAACTTATCCATGGTATGGACTTGTGTATTTTTCCATTTTTGCTCTCTTATTTTCTCCCTTTCTCTGCTCTCTTGTACTTAGACACCGTACACGCGTAAATGAACACACCTCTCTGTTTTTGTATTCTGCCCTGGAGTATGATCATTTTTAGACTATCTGGAGCACTAATGGAACATGCAGTAAAAATAACTTAGATATTTATATCCTGAGTATCCAGTTTCAGTTTTTAGGGCTTTCTCAGATTTTTGTGTGTTAGTTTGAAGTCTTCCATCGCTCTTCTGGGCTTGAAATGACTGTATTTTGGCTGTGAGCAAAAGTAGTACTGCTCATTTCTTGAATGAGAATCACACAGTGAAGCACACTATTGCCATGATAAAAAGGTGACCCCCAAAATAGCCAATAATATAAAATACTTTTGAACAACTCTGAGGTGGATAATCACAGAAGCCTTTACCGAGGGAAAATACTTCAAGAAATTGTTTCTAATTTGGCTTAGATCTGAATCTTTGAGAGTACGTTAATTTTTAATGCTGTTGTGATGCTTTATCGACACCCTGTCAGGACTCTGCTCAGAGCTTGCCTTGCTCTGTACAAGAACAACAGGCCAGTTCCAATACATGCAAGAAAGGTGAATTGAGTTATACCTTGTGAGATGAAGGCAGCAGACCTTCACAAAAGCACGATAATATTCAGTGTGGGCAAAATGTGGCTTGCACGAAGCACATCTTTGACAGATACCCTTTAAGTCAACACAGCCCTTTCAGGCAAAAGGAGTGGAGCCTGGTGCATTCTGCTGGAGGCTGTAATAGCCTGTACATTTGAAATACCAATCTTGTTGTACTAAGAACACTCCTTTGCTCTGCTTGGCAAGTGCTCTTGGTGGGACCCTAAAGTAAGCAAGAATCTGTCTGCTTTGGCCAGCACAACAAGTTCCCTATTACACATTTTCCCACCCCCTAATTACTTCAGTGCCTCAACTTGTCCACTCTGCAGCAGGACTTTGCCTAATTTCACATACCTCATGCACAGAAATTGTTGTCATGGCACTGAAAATCAAATCTATTGTTCACAACTCCCCCTCTTCATTCCATACCATTTACTCAGCTGTCCTCTTTCTTCTCCATATCCATTTTAAATAAATGTGCCTTGAATGAAATGAGAAACCTCCCAGAGGTGCCTGCTACTAGATTTTCAAGGCAATTGAAAAGAAAAATTGGCACTTTCTGTAATGCATCATGCTGCAGAATGTTGAATATATAATGAAAATCATCACATGCTGCACAATGTTGTTCTTTTTTTATTTCTGGGAGGTTCATCTGTCACTGCTTAATTGCTGATAAACACTGTCATTTGACTGGTATCACAGTGATGGATAATTAAGTTCCCACTAAATAAATACCTGCATTAGTGCCTTGAAAAGATCCCAACTGAAGCTATTCCCTTGAAAAACTGGTATAAAATTCCAAAACATAGGTGATAAAGAGCTAAATTCAGAGCTGATAAAGCTCTTAATGTCAGTGGCTGATGACACAGTACCTGGGGATGTTGGTGACACAGCAGAGACATGGCGACTCATTGGAAGTGGAGGGTTTCACATGTAGGAGAGGAATGCAGAAGAGAAGAATGAAGAGAACTATTGCACCAGGACATTCCAACAGCTTTGAAAAGCAAAGAAAGGTGGAACTGGAAAGCAAGTCTGTCTTTATTAAAAGCTTATAAGGAGTATCACAGGCTGCATTTATAGCAGTGGATAGCAAGCACATTTGGCACAGTCTGCATAGCCATGGGGTGAGGAGAAAACAGAAAATATTTTTCAAAATGTATTTCCAAAGCATTTCCAAATGCTGTTGGGTTGGCATGCTCTGTGCAGGAAGATTTTTAAAAAATGTTTTCTTTTGTCCATATGTGCTTGCACACAGTGGATAGAGCTGTGTCTGGCACCGGAGATGAGACAAGATTTGCCTGAGCAGCTTCCGCACACAGCTGCTCTGAGCCTTGCTCACATCTTGGTGTGCAGTGCACAGGGATGTAAAGAGGAAGGCAGACCCTGTGGCCTCAGTTCTTCCACCTTATACACAGTTTCTTTGGTTGACTTGCCCGCTCATCATTTGCTCTTTCCTTCTGGTTTCAGCTCCTGTAACTCGTTTCTTTTCATATTTTTCTCATTTTAATTTATATACCCAGGCTTTTATCAAAGCTTTCTATTTTTTATACAAACCCAATTTTCACCACTCAGCCCTCTCTGAACTGCTTTGCTGTCCTGGTATCTGATAGTTCCAGCTGTGACAGCTCCTAATAGCCATATTCTCTGCACCACCTTGGCTCCATTGCACATGAGAGCATCCTTCCAGCCAGCACACCACAGGCAGTCCTCTGACGCACTGCCAGCAAGGGTGACAGAATAATGTGCAATGTGTCACTTACAGAGGCACGAGCTGATGCAATTCTCTGACAGGATCCAGTGCCTGGTAGGCAAATTTCAAACATGATTTGTTTCCAGACTCCCCAGGCCCAGCAGTTGCTGGCAAGATTTCTAGGGCAAATCACTGTGTTTAGAGCGATGCGATTTGAGCTTGTTTACTGTGAACAGTATGGTCCAGACTGGGACATCCAGTCCAGAATACCTTACATTCTGTGTGAATTGAAAAGTCAAAAGGTTTGAAACTGAATAAAGAAATGGGTTTTTTACATGTAGCTGCTAACTAGATGTGCACTGACGGACAAAGTTGTTGATGTGAGGGACTTTAACCAGAGTCCAAAACACTTCAGCGTGGATGGTGAGAGGAAGTGTGGTTGCTCTGGTGGAAATTGAAACCCCTCATTGTTCAGGGCCTGGAGCACTGTGTGCTGTAGCACAGGGTGAGGTCAGGGGCAGCTCATCCCACAGTGCACTGATGCAGGTGCTGCCTGATGCGCTGTGGAAGAGAACTCAGGCTAAGCCAGCACAAACCTTCCAGCTGACTGCTCAGAGTATATCCAAGCAGGATACAGCTGTGACAGCCCAACTGTCCCACCCACTGGCAAAGCTCCCTTGCTGCCCAGGGAGAACACACAGGGCTCTGGTGAGCTGCAGAGCTGCCTTCCCTGCTCATGCCTCACCAGGTTTATAAGACCTCCTATTTCCCCTACTGAACCTGGGCGTGGGGGAACCAACCTCTCTCCAAAGTGTTATTTAAAGCCTCTGTGCTGTCAGTGCCAATCTCAGGATGAGCTGCACAGAGGATGATAGATAGGCATCAGAAGCAGTTGCTGTTTAATATTCCTAGGCTGGGAGGCTGGCACTCCCTCCCTCGGCTGCTCAAGCTGTAATTTTCAGCTGCTGGGAGTGCAGCTGCATCTGGGTGCAGGCTGATTTGCAGGAAACCCTCTGCAGCACAGGGTGGCAGCCCTACCCCGAGGTCCTACAGCCTTTTATCTCATGCCAGATTTCACATTCCAAATGTTATTACTGTAAACCAGTAGCATCTGAAGAAAATGGTACAACAAATCAAAACACAGCGATGTTCCAGTTCGTAAAAAAAATGCTTTGTTTTAAATTACCTCAAGAGAGGCACAAGTCTGTGCATGTCACCCATTAACTGAGTAAAGATTTTCTCTCTATGATCAAGTTATTCAATAACTATCTGCTGCAGGGTTTATTTGAAGAAAACCTCCTCTGAAGCAGCCATTCTTGATCATTCTCAAAGGCAAGACATTTGACTAACAGAGTTCTTGATCTGATCTAGTTTGGCCGTCTCAATGCCTATTTTTTTAAGTCTCTATTAACATCCATTTTTATTTTGTTTGCTACTGTTTGACAAGTCTGAACACTTCTCTGGTATGGAAGTAGGGAGGGAAGGAGAGTGCCCCTCCTCTGTACTGAGGTTCCTTTTCTGCAGAATACTCCTACACGTACAAATGAAACGCATTTGAAAGGCTGGCTGCTGGTTGCTTGCCTGCAGCATGCTGTGCTGAGTCAAACGTTGTGTGCAGATCACAAGCCCAGTGGATGCAGGACTATTTTTAGACTGAGGATACTATGTTGAAGAAGAACAGACAGACTAGGGAAACTAGAAAGTTTTAAAAATAATTCTGAGCTAAAATTAAGCATATGGAGAAGAGCAGCAAGCCGTGGTAGGCTTGCAGATGCTGCCCTTTCTGTGTCTTCACTATGCAGAGATGGAAGGTGATAAAGTGACATGAAAGGAGTTTCCTCCTTGAGTCACTGCTGCTTTCCCCCTCTTTGTAGGCTGGCAGACTCCCCAAAAACTTGTTCTTGGATTGAAGGTAGCCCTCAGGTCTAATCAGGGAGATGCAAAGTCTAAAAGGCCCACTCAAACATTCACTCCCCCATTACAAACCCATTCTGCAAGTCATAGCTTTCTAGATTTATAAAACAGTCTAAATCTGTCAGAGCAAAAGACTAAAAGCTTAAAAATGACAACCAAATTGCCTGCAACAGCAGAAAGCATATTAGTTGAAATATGTGCAGATAATCCTCAGAAATCAGCCACGCTCCTATGGAGAACAAGGCAAAGCCATGTGGTGATGGGCATCCTGAAAAAATGGAGAAATTCCCCTCAAAACCAGATCTGGGAGGTGGTTTAATTCAATGTGTGTGAGGAAGACACATGGATGAGGCAACCGCGGGTTCCTTCTCCCTAATGACAGCACTGTGCCCGAGCAACACCCATTTGGAGGAAGGCAAAGTTAAAAATACAGCTCGGCACAGGAGTTCCCTGGTACCGGGAGGCAGCTCTCAGCAGCACCCCATCCCAGCATCTCCAGCCTCGTGCCACCACACACCTCTGCTTTGCGTGGCTGAATGAGACCAACATTTTCAATCTCCTTTCATAAGAGGAGATTACCATGTAAGCACTTAATTATCCTGGAGCTTTTCTCTGCCCATGTCTCAGTTGAATCTCTTTTTTTTCCTTGCACAGCTGGGACTGTATGCAGGCTTCCAGACATCCTGGGGTCCACAGCAGTTTTGTCAGCCAGAGCCTGTGCACCACCACATAGCACACTGCCCTGTCTCACCTGTAACCCCTGGTGCTGGCGTTTGCATCTTTGTGTTGCCTGCTAATTACCTGAATGCCCTCTGGCTTTTGCACCCAGGTGACTACAGCAGATTTTAAGTGTGTTTGGCTCATGAGCAGGCCTCGAGAAGCACCTTCCAGAGCCACCTCGTCCCCTCATGCTACCCCGAGCAAGAGCTGATGTTTTCCCTTTAAATTAGGGTTATTTTTTAAGTTTCCTGTTATTTTTTTCTCTCTTTTTTTTTCATAATACATGACAATTTCCACTGAAAAGCTTTGTCTGAATCTACAGAAAGCCCATTGTGTTGCCTTTGTCTAAGAAGTCACCTACCTTGTGACTTGTGCATTGTCCTAGAGCATTACATTAGCCTGATACAATCCACTTTTTCCAATCTTGTTCCATTTTATTCCATTTCCTTCCATGTCTTTGAGTACTTTTCCCCTTAAAGTCTGCTCTAAAACCTTAAGATCAAACTACTAAGCCTATAATTGCTCAGATTTCTTTCCTTTCTTCCTTCCCAAATGTACCTTTTTTAAATGTCCCTGTTTTGTCACAGAAGCAAAGCCTACAATTATTTTCTGCCCGCCTCTCCCTAATAGTTTTTAACTCTTTAACCAATTCCATCTACAGTTTGACAGAAGGGCACAGCTCACTGAGATAATTAAGTCCCTACAAGCTTAATGAAAATAGCTGAGCATGAGGAGAAGGGATCCCAAGTGCCCTGTGGCTCTGCAGACTGTGAGCACAGCTCTGCAGGGTGAGAGGTGCTGCATTGAGGAGCTGAGATAAACACTGGGTGAAGAGGAACAGCCTTCATCCAGGCTCTCAGCTCCATCGACACCAAAGTCAATCAAACACTTTGGATCTGTAGCAAAAGAGGATTCATTAATTGCAGAGCTCTTGTAGCCACTTGTTTAAAATGTAGGCTTTATTCTGCTTTTTCCTCAAGTGTGCAGTGCTAGTCCACGAACCAGGATTTCAGTTATCCTGGCCCATTGGTATGGCAGTGCTTTGCTTTAGCAAGAATGCTTTGGATCCTATTTTTCCCCAACCAGCCAGCATTCCACCCTAACCACACTGGCTGTACACACCTTTCTGCACCCTTCACAGGAAAGACCAGACATGTTTAACTCTTTCTCTCTGCTCTTTCTCAGCTCTTTGTCCTAATTTACAATTTTAAAGGAGACTTCTATAAGATTCCTAAGGAGTTTTCATTTCCACACACACTGCAAATTGTGTTCCCATTCTGTAGCATATTAGGCACGGCAGTGGTTCCTGTAAGAGTAATTGCAGCTGCATAGGGGGAGTTATATTCTTATCCAATCATATAACCCAAATTCCTGGGGTTTTATCAGTTTTTCCACAAGACTGATAGAAGAAGAAGCCAAGAGCATCTTGCTCCAATTTAGTACCTTCCCAGGGAGCCTATGCCCCCACAGGACACTGCTGGGGCCCCCATTACCAAGTGTTGAGTGCAGCTGCCTGGTTCAGGCAATTTCTGACCCTCTCTCTTCCCTTGCCCAGCAAATGGAAATCCCAATTCTTTGCTTCATCATTTCCCACTATCCCTTCCAGCATTTTCCCCTCAGTTGTCAGCCTCCTGTGCATTTCTGAAACAGTTTCTCTGGTTGCACTTCTTAGCCATTAACCTTTCACATCTCCATTCTGTTCAAGCTCCCACTTACCACCAGCTGGTTGCAGGAAAGAGTTGGTTACGCTGGGATGGGTCAGCTGTACTGGGTCCCCCTGCCTTGGCTGTGCCTGTTGTGCAGCTGGCAGACAGCTAAGCCTCAGCCTTCCCTGCATTGAGCCTACCAAGTACTGTGGCTTTGCGTAGCCTTTCCTCTCCAGCTGCCACATTAACAGAGCACAGTAAATGAGGTTTGGCCTATGTGCAGCATCTTACAAATTTCAAGTGCCTTGCGTTAAACATCCACCCCATTGTTCATGGCCCGAGGCACGGGGAGATCGCAGCGGGAGAATCTCTGTGGTGATTCATGCCAAGACGTGGAGGAAGCAGCAATAGTATTGATAGTACTTTATTCACATTTACAAATGAAAGACCAAATGTGTTTTTTATTGATTTCCCTGTTTAGTGGAAGATGCTCTTCAAAGTCACTGTGACTCTGTACTGAAAGCTCTGAGAGATAGAAGCCAAATGGAGCAGGCACTGCTGGAGATGGAGAGGAGACTTGCAGCCGTAAGTGCAAAATTAATCTTTTATTCTGAATCCCCATTCTGAATTTCTCCCACTTCTTCAAAATACTAACTGAATATTAAATTGCCTTCAGGTGGTGGATTATAAAGCTGACTGCTCTAGTTATAATGAAGGGGGAAAGATGTATTAAAATGCTAATTCTAGGCCAGATACTGATGGATGCTTACCCAACCACTGGCTAACAGTGCTGTAAGCTCTGATGAAGCCCTGGTCAGTAAGACAAGAGCCCAACAGTGCCCTGTCGTGGCAGGCCACGACAGAGCACTCACTGCTTCCTCACCTGGCACATGCCTTTGCTGGAGGAGGTGGTGCAGTGCATGCCCGTGAGGGGAGAGCACCTTGCAAAAGTGCAACACCTTGTCCCTTCAGTGAGGTGTTTCCCAGGGAGAGGGAAAAAAGAGGTGAAAACAGAAAAAGTGAGTGTCAGAGGCATAAGAATTAGTTGTCAGAGACCTCCTGGACAGGTCTGGTTTCTCCAAAGGCCCTGCTGTAGGAATTGCTTTTGGCAAGGATGTGTCACACCAGTGCATGAGAAGGCAGTGCTCCTGGGAGAGGGGGCACACAGTGGGTTAGGGGTATGCTTCTGTTCCAAACCTCTCACTTTGGTGGGACAGTTTGAGGATACACAGGAAGATACAGATTGCTGATCTTTGAATCAAACTGACACATGGTACCTGAAACTTTCTTATTATTGTGCCTTTTCATGTATTGCTTACTGCTTCTGCTCTGCTTGCTGCTTCCCCAGAAAGATGCAGAGATTTCAGATGTGAAATCCAGTGTTCAGCTGCTGAAAGAGGGTCTGGAATCACTGCCAGCCCAGCTGAATGACCAGCACCTGAAGCTGTGTAAAGAACTAGACTTCGTGAAGCTCCCTAATGCCTCAGCTGAGCAGCACACACCTGTGCCTAGTGCCAGACTGCCCCCTCACATGACAGATAACTCTTCCCAGACCTCCCCTGGCCTGTGCCAGCTTCGTGTCCTGGATGAGAAGCACCCATGCCAGCCCTGCTGCCAAGGCAGCAGGGTTTGCAGCTGCTCAGGCTGGTCTCATTTCCACTGTATGACAGTGGGGGAGCAACACAGACACTCCCCTGGGAGGAACCAGATCACTGAGGATGGCACCTCTAAGGGTGCAGCCTCAGGAGGCAAAGCCATTGCTACAGAGGCCTGTGACAGAGCAAACACCTCTTTGCAGAAGATGAAATATGGCTTGGAGACACAGAGCTGTGCTACCCATCCTTGCATGTGCTGGGCTGACAGTAACTTTTTGGGGGGCAGTCAGAAGAAACACTGTCCTGTACCATTGGAAGCGCCTCTACCAACCCCACGGAGGAAGGCGTTCAGGAGAGGCACTGGAGGGTTTGAAGCCCTGACACCGTCACAGCAGCAGCAGCCTCAAGGTTGCCACCAGTCTGTATGGAAAGCTCCACCTGGGCAAAAAGACAGCAACGGGTCCACAGGCCACAAGGTGCAGAAGGCAGCTGTAGGCAACAAAACAAAACAGAGTCCAGGAAGGATCCCCTGGAATAAAGCTGTAGGGAGGAAGAAAGCATACCCTGCTAAGAGGAAAGGCGAGCTCTCTCGATGTGCTGACAGTGGGCTGAAGCAGAGGAAGGCAAATGGGATTATTGAGTTGGAAAGCTCCAGAAAAAATTGCTTTCCCAGATACTTGGTTGATCTCAATTCAGAAAGCTCTGACCCGGTTTTTGCAGCTCGCCATCAGCAGATCCTCAGCAGCGCTCAGCCAGGGCTTACAGAGAATTTCCCATCAGTGCCATGCTCTGATAAAAGCCTGCAACAACTTGCAAGCAGAAGAAAGAAAAGTCTGGAAATTAAAAGAAGAGTGAATGTTTCCACCGTAAAAACGTATATCTTGGATTCCTCTCCTGAGGGGAATATATTATCCCTATGTAGCACAACAGGTGTAGAGCAGATGAGCTGCTTCAACCTCCGAAGCCCCTCAAGCTCCAAGAAACCACATCCTGCCAATCTGCTGGCTCAGAAGAACCCAACCTGTTGCTCTTTATTGTTTGATAGTGATTCTTCTGATTGAAGGGGACATGTTTGGAGCCCTCAGTGCAGGCTTGGCCATCTCAGTTGCAGTTTATTCTTCTAGGTGTGTTACCTGCTTAGCCAGAGGCTCTAAAGTGTTATTGCCCAGTTTGAGATATTGCAAGAGACTATGTGAGGACAGCTCTCCCCTCTCCTGGAGCTGTATTACTTTATCTCCCTGCTCCCACCAGAGGTGCCAAGGGCTCCAGTTACCATCGTATTTACACGCTTGCAGAGTCTGCTGAGACATTCCCAGGGAGGAGAGATTTGGCAGAGCACAGACGGGCAGCTCAGATTTGGCATTGAGATTTACTGGAAACTTTTCAGCTTTTCAATGTAATGCTATCTCTGTGGCCAGAGGCTTCATTCTGTTTCTCACCCATAGTCTCTATGTTGGTTTGTTGTGTAAAAGTTCAGGTTTTTAGTTCTGGAGGCAGTAGTAGTGTTGTTCTGGTTGATTTCAATAAGGTTCAGATTTGTCCCAGGAGTTGTTTGTGAACTTTGGACGGGGACCAGTTCAGCTGAGGAAAACCAAATCCCAATGTCTCAGGTTCATCGACTATTGAATTTCTTCTCCTTTTAGGCTGAAAATTTCTTGGCCTCAGAAATTTCAGGAAATTATTTTGTTTCTACTTTTTTTGTATTTGTATCTCTTGGCTGATTAAGGAATTCTCCAACGTATCCTTTTCAAGGGCAGTGGTTCTCAAACAGAGGCCAAAAGATACAATGTTCAGATCCAGCAGATGACACGTTGGACAGCCCCTATTCCCACAGAGAACTCTTTCCATAGTACCCAACTGTGACTATCAGTAGCTCCCACTGCTTCAGCCATTTGCGTCAGGTTTGATTTCCGATTTGAAATCTTACCAGCAAAAAAGCATTTTGATGTTCACAAAAGCAAATTTGTGGTGTTGCCACAAATCTAAATGATCCAGCTTTGTCATCCCGGCTTTAATAAACTCTTTGTGCTGTCACCAAAGCCCATTTTCTCTGTGTTGGTTTTTCAGGAGAGTCACGGTCCTGTTCAGTGGGAGAGTGGGCGGCTCCCCTGGAGCCGTGTTTAACTCCCCTGGATCGTGGAACTGGGAGGATTCCTTTCTTCAGTTCCTTTCTTTGTTTAAAGAAGGAAAACTACACCCCTCCAGTTTAACATTGGTCCAGTGATGTTAATTAGCAAGGAGGAGGAGGTGGGGGTAGGTGTGGGAGTTGGTCAGGGAAGGGGCTGGGTGACGCTGCCGGCAGCAGTGGCATTTCACATTGCCCTCATGTATCCGCCTCCCCGTCATTCCCTTTACGGCCTTCGCTGGGCAAAACCTGCTCGGGGGGGCCGAGGCTGCATTTTCACGACCCCCTGCATTTTGGGGCCGGCGGGGACGGGTGCAGGTCTCTGTGCAGCCCCCGGCCTGGGCGCAGGGAGCTCGGCAGCACATGGCTGAGCTTGGAGGGACCTCTGGAGGTGTCTGCCGCAAGCCCCTGTGCAAAGCAAAGCAGGGACTGGCTCCTGGGCACCCCGACATGGAGCACCAGTGCCGTGGGGTGCAATGCGGGGCTGCCCTGGGGACCCCGCAGCCCCTGCCACACACATGTGCTGGCACACAGCTCAAAACAAAATCTCTGGAGATGGAGGTATAACAGCAACAGCAGCCAGCAGTGCCTCCCCACGTCGACTCACAACTGATTAAGGGGATGCAGCCCCAGGGTGCCACACTGGCCCCCATGGCCCCTCCTGTTCCCACTCAGGGTGTCCTCCAGGATTTTAGCTGCCAACAAGGGTATTTGTCCCAATACGGCTGTGACGATGGCAGCTCCTCTTCCAACCTTGCTGGACAAAAATGGAAGCATGTGTGCTGCATGGCAGCAGAATTCCCGGGCACCCTGCTTACGTCCCAAGGGAGCAGGTCCTGCCTCCCAGCCCATACTCCCAGCTCACTGTCACTGGCTCCTTGCCAGAGCCAGCCATGCCCTAGGCATGTGGGGCCCTGCATCCACAGTTTCTCCTGGACTTTGCCTCCATGAGGCTGCCAGTGGGGCTGTGTTTGTGGGGTCTCATCCCACCCTTTACCCAGGGAAGGTGTCAGGGTGGTTCCTCCAGCAGCACAGCCAAGGGAGACTGCGGAGGGCATGGGACAGGACCATAAAACATGCACAGTGGTCAGAAAATAGCAAAGCTGGGCTCCAGACTGTTTGAGGGCGCTTAATTGGGGCAGTTTCCTCTGAAACTGGGGTTTTGTCCTATTATCTTTGGGGAGAGCCCAGGAGAAGGGGGATTACAGTGGTCAAAAGCCTGTGACACCCAGGTAGCCGCAGGCATAGGGGTGTGAGAGCACTGGTCACATCCTTCACCTGCTGCACAGAGCAGGGGGCTCAACTTTTCACCTGCCGGTGAGTCACTTGGCAGAAGAGGAAACCTCTGACGGCACAGAGGATGTGGCTGCTGTGCCCCTGCCTTGTGCAAAAGGTGCCCCAACGGCTGTGGTATATAGGGCACAGCCAGCTCCCTCCCCACAGTCCCACTGCACACTCAGCACTGTGGCTGCACCAGCCACGGGATGAGACCATCTGGCCGTGGTGGTGCTGGCAGTGCCCCCTGCAGTGCAGGATCACCTCCACTCTCCCCCTGGGCGGCCTCCCCAGTGCTAATCCCCAGACTAACTGCCTGCCCTGTCTGTGGTGTGGGGCCCGGCACAACGGCATTGCCCACATTCCCGGACCCTGTTCTCAGCTGGCTACCACAGCCTCCCAACCCCACAGAGAGATGGACTGGGGACCAGAAATGCCCCATGCACTGACGGTGAGCCCAGCCCAGGCACGATGTCCCGGGAATGGAGAAGTGGCAGGAGCAGGAGTGGGGCACTGTGTGGTGCTGCCGGCACAGTACTGCCGTGGGGACCTGAGGTGCCACACGGCCCCGCTGGAGCGGTGAGAGGAGAGTGATGGTGATGACAGGGCTTTGCCAAGGCTATGGTGGCTCAGGCACTGCTGAGGTGCAGGCTGGGAGGAGCAGGGGTGCAGGCAGGGACATGGAGTGCAGGTGTCACCGTGCAGGACAGAGCCCTGAGCTGGTGTGATTTTGTGGCGCCGTGGTCGTGCCAATGTCAGCCCAAGCCCGGCAGGGCGGGCAGCTCTCCAGACGGACATTTAAGCAGATTAACTAATTACCTGCACTTTGGCAGGGTCCCACGGCCCAGTGGCTGCTAGGGCGCTGTGTGCCCATGGTAAAGCAGCTGGGAGGCAGGTGTGGGACAGATGGGTAACAGGGACCCCCAGACCTTCCCCAGGACCCTGCTAGGCAGTCCGGCAGCGCCCCAGCCGCCCCGCGCCTACCCCTTGGCGGCCGCGGGACCAGCCTCGGCCACATCCCGTGCTGAGGTGCCACCGCACTGCTCGCTCCGGGCGATCCTTCCCGTCCCGCGGGCAGCATCTCCCCTCTGCCGCCCCACCGTGTCCTGTCCTGCGGGGACGTGTCCCGGTGCCCCTCCAGAAGCCACGTCACAGAGACACCCGCGCCACGGGGGACCCGACCCCGAGAGCCCACCCTGGATGAGCCCCAGGACTCGCCCGCCCCCATGCTCGGTCCCGCGGGTCCCGTCCCGACGCGGCGGCCCCGGCCGTGCCCCGCGCCCCCCCTCCCGGTGCAGGCGGGCTCCCGCGCGGGTGCCCGCGGCTCGGGGCGGCGCGTGACCGGCTGCCGCCGCCGCCGCCGCCGCCCGCTCCGCTGCAGAGCCCGGCCCGCCCGCACCGGCACCGGCACCGGCAGGTCAGCGCGGGGGGCTGCGGCCCCCGGGGCACCGGCACTGGGGCCGCCGGGGCTGTGGCGGGCGGCGGGAGGGGGCTGGCGCCACCACGGCCCGCGCACCGGGCACCGAGCGGCGGGGCCGGCCCGGCGCGCTGCGGGCGGGGTCGGCGGGATGCGGCGGCCGAACCGTCCCCGCTCTGGTCCCGCACCGGCCGCGGCCCGGCCCCGCAGCGCAGCCCCCGCCGGCTCCTGCACACGCACCGCGGAGCCGCCGCGGCAGCAGCCTGGCGGTCCCGGCCCCGTTCCCGGCCCGGCGGGGCTGAGCCGCGTGTGCGGCGGTGGCGCGGGGCACCGGGCCGGGCATCCCCGGCGGGATGCGGCCGGGACTCGCCAAGGTGAACGGTGCGTGGCAGAGCGGGGCTGCCGCCGGCGGGGACGCCGGGAGAGGACACTGGGGACGGAGAATCGGGGAGGGGACACCGGGAGGGGAACCGGGGATGGAGCACCGGGGAGGGGACATTGGGGATGGAGCACCAGGAAAGGGACATCGTGGACGCTGGAGGTCGGGAGCACTACACACCAAGGACCACCCGCACCAGAGACACTGCGATGGGGAGCACCGGGGACACTGGGAAGGAAAAGACTGGGAATGGGGCCACCGGGGATGGGGACAGCTGGGAACAGGGCTCAGGGCTACTCGAGAAGGGACAGTCAAGCCGCTGGCTCTCTCGCTGGGCAGTGGGTGGCCACGGGCACAGCAGCCCCACGGCCAGTTGCGCGAGTGCCCCGGGCGGCTGCTGTGGGTCCTGGCTCACCAGACCCCCATCCCCGCAGGGCCAGCTGGGTACTCACCATGGCTGCAGCACAGCTCGTCTCCTGGGGGATGCTCCTGGCCACCGTGGTCCCCGCCGGGGCCCAGGGTGGGCTGCCGGAAGGGATGTCTTTAGGCGAGGACCCCTTGCACAGCGCTGCCTGGGGACAGCAGTGGCCGGGCCCATCCCCCACCTGGGAGGCATCAGGGGAGCCGAGCGGCACGGGGGACTCCAGGAGGGAGCGCTGGGGGAGCAACAGCCCCGTGCACTGGTCCCCACCGCTGCAGGCAGGGCATGGCACAGGGGCACCCCTGAAGATGGAAACCACTATGACGGGCGCTGATACCAGGGCCTGGAGGGACGGCAGCACAGCCCTGGCTGTGACAGAGGAGCCACTTGTCACCTGGCGAGGACATGAGGCTGAAGGCCAGGACAGCCCTCTGCCTCACAGCTCTGCACCAGGCACACTGGGCCCTGGGGTGCCCACGGACACAGGGCCACCCTGGGCAGGGCAGGGTCTGTCCCTGTCAGGGCAGAATGCCACAAAGACAGCTGGCACTCCCAGCCCTTGGCCAACCGTATCCACCATCGCTCTGAACCCCCTGCCGGCAGTGGGAATGGGGACAGCAGATGCCCACACAGGGGGACAGACGGTGGAGGGACCCACAGCGGCCCTGGAGCTGCCTCAGGATGCACAGCTCGCTCCAGCCAGCAGCCAGTCAGTCCCACTGGGCACTGTCCCTGTCTCCCACTCCACAGGCACAGGGCCAACCCATCGTCCCCACACCAGCCCTGGCTCTGCACAGCCGGTGAGCAGCTGGGGGGACACGGGAGGGCCCTCCAGCCCCTCCCTGGCTCTGCCAAACTCTGCCCCACAGCTGCCCCACACAACCCCATCCTGGGGACTGGCTGAGCCCTGGACCAGGGGGCTCCCGTCCCACCAGCGCAGCACCCGGAGGGCCCCGCTCAGCCACACCACCACCAGCCCCGGGGATGCAGCACCTCGCACGGACCCCGGGATGACTGGGCAGCGGGGACCCCAGCCCACCCCAGGGGCTGTCCTCAGCACCAGTCCTGCCCTCAGCACCAGTCCTGCGCCTCCACCCGCCTCCAGCACGGCCACCCCCGGCACCTCCAGCACAGGTAGGATCCAGCACAGTGCAGGGGACTGCCACCATCCCTTGGTGGCAACCAAACGCCCACAGATGCCAGTACCCTGCTTTGCCCTCTCTCACAGGGCTGCTGCCTGAGGAGGACATCGGCTCCCCACAGCGGGTCCGGGGTGCTGTGGGCGCTGTGAGCATCCCAAATGCCACCAAGGCGACCCCACAGCCAGCAGCACATCCATCCACCACAGGGACACTCTGGACTAGGCACTCAGGTGATGCAGGGCTGCATCCAAGCCCATCCATTCTGCAGATGCTGTGGGAGCCCATCCCCAGGGCATCAGGGCTGGTGGGGAGGATAGCAGCTATCTTGGGCTGCCCAGCCGGGACACTGTGACACCTTCAATCAGGATTGCACCTGACGACGGCCCTAATCTATTCCTGCCTGCAGGGATTAGTGCTAAGTGCTCGGCAGGTGGGGGCTTCCTGGGGGGGGGGGGGGGGGGGGGTCGGGGACATGACCGGGGATGTGACACCCCCTGCACTGTGGGTCCTGACAGAAAACCCTGGGAGGCACCAGCGTGTAGAGCCCTGGCCAGCACAGAGCATCCCCCACTGCACTCCTGGGGTGCCACAGCGTGGGGTGCAGGTGGGGGCTGGATGCGACCAAAGCCCCCACTCCCCACTGACTGTACCCCTCTTTCCTGCCTGCAGGCACCCTGGGGACGCAGCCCCCCACCCCAGGCACTGCAACCCCCTCAGCCACGTGGCGACGAGCAGGGGTGACGCCTCAGCCAGCCCCCCGAAATCCACCCTTGCTGCAGCCACAGCCACAGCCCAGCCGTGCCCCGCCAGTGCCAGGGGCCAACGGGACTGGGCTGCGCTGGACCGAGCTGCAGCACGAGCTGGGCTTCTCCTGGGAGGCCCATGTCTATGGGTTGGCTGCCATCTTCCTGCTGCTGGCACTGGGATGCCTGGCGGGGCTGGCAGGGACGGCCATCCTGCGGCCCCCACACCTGCCCCACACTGTGGGGGCCCATGGGCTGCTGCTGGCTGCCTGCCTGCTGCGGGCCACCTTCCTGCTGCTAGACCCCTACGGGGCACGGGGCCGCCTGCCTGCCCCGGCACTGCTGCTGCTCAGCACGGCTCCCTTCCCGCTGCTGCTCGCCTCCTTTGCCCTCCTGCTCCAGCGGCTCCAGCGCCTGGCCCAGCTGCGGCTGCTGCCGGCCCGGCTGCGGGGGCTGCCAGCGCTGGGGGCTGTTGCCGTCCTGCAGAGTATGGTGCTGGGAGCCGCCGACCTGCTGCCGCCCCGGCTGGGCCCCGCCACGCTGGGGCTGCAGGTGCTGGGCTGTGTGGCAGGAGCCCTGCTGCTGCTGGGGGGGCTCTGGGGGTGCTGGCGAGTGCTGCGGGCGCCCTGTGAGGAGCCAGGCCCAAGGCCAGGGGTGCGGGCGCTGCTGGCAGCAGCAGTGGCGGGGTTGCCGGTCTGCGGGCTGCAGCTTTACAGCGCTGTGTGGCTGCGAGGGGTCCTGGGGCCCCCTGGGCGCTTCTCCCGGCCCGGCTGGGTGGCACAGCTCTGGTTGCGGATCGGTGAGCTGGGCACAGCCCTGGCGCTGCTGGCAGCCACCGCCGAGCCTGTGTGCTGCCAGTGCCACCGCCAGAGCCCCACTGGCCACTCCTGCTGGGCCAAGGCGCTGCGGTACTTCTGTGCTGGCCACAAAGCCGAGGCACCCGAGTACCCCAACAACTGCTACGACTGGGCCGGTGGGAGTGCCAGTGGTACCAGCGCAGAGCGGATACCCGCCAATGACATCTCCAAGAGCCTCATCCGCAACCCGGCGGAGCAGCTGCCCCTGCGGGCTCTCAAGGACAGCAACGAGGCCTGGGCGGCTTGCGCTGGGATGCCAGGGCTCAGCCCCAAGTGCCCCAACCTGCTGGCCGCCCGCTCCTGCGCCACCTTCGAGCAGGGCTCGTCCCCCTCACTCGGGGAGCTGGTCTTCCGCCCGCCGTCCCCCATCGACCTGCGCCGCAGCATTGACCAGGCGCTCTGCCGCCGTCACCTCCTGCAGGACAGCCTCTTCAGCCGGCCCCGCCGTGGCTCGGGCACCTCACTGCATGGCTCCCCAGCCCCCAGCCCTGGCCTGGGGCGCATGGTGCGGTGCAGCTCCCTGACAGAGCTGCCCGGGCCCCGGCAACCCCCCGGTACCATCACCGTCACTGTCACCGCCTCGGCCAGCTCGCTGGAGAGCAGCTCACTGAAGATCAGCTGGAACCCCTGGCGCCACGGGCTGTCCTCACCTGACAGCCTGCCCCTGGACGAGGCTCCCAGCCGGGCCCCTCTCCTGGTGCCCGCCGGACCCCCCGGCTGGGAGCGCGAGGGTCCCCGCAGCTTCCCAGCCCTTGGCAAGGCGGTGGACTCCCGCAGCCTCTCCAGCGACACCATTGAGCTCTGAGCCAGGGCCGGGCAGAGACTGAGGGTGCAGAGACTGAGGGATGAGCCCAGTGTGAGGGTGTGGGGGTCTGATCTTGCGCCCCTGCAGGGCCAGGCAGGGGCTGGCTCCATTTGTGCCAAATGAGAGAAATAAAGAATTTATGCTGGGAGGAGCTCCTGTTGGCATGTGGAGGTGGATAGCAGCACCTCCAGCCCCGCCTCGATCCCGGCCCTCAACAGCTGAGCTGGGTGTGCAGAGCTTTATTTCCTGAGATATGGACACACAGACAGATGGGCACACCCCGACGGACAAATGCAACGGCCACACTCATGCATCCAGCAGGGCCCCCCCTTGCCCAGCATGGCACCCCCAGCAACATGGGGCCCTCGGCCCATCCAGTCTGGGAGGGGAGATGGGCTCTGCCCAGGGACATGGGGAGGAGGGGTGGGATGGGGGGGCAGCTCTCCCAGCCCCACAGCTCAGGGCAGAGGGGGGGCCTAGCCCTTCACTGCCCCACAGGGAATGGCCTTATGGGAGGGGGGTCCTAACAGGGCCAGCAGCCCCAGCCTGGGGGCAGGTAGCAGGATCACCCTCTCACCTGCCCCCCCACCTCCACCTGCCACAATTCCAGGTCTCTCCTTTAGAGTACGAGGGGCTGGAGGCAGCATGCTGTGCCCCCCACACAGTGCCACACTGCCTGGCATCACCCCTCCAGACAGAGAAGGCTGTGTGGGAGCCCCTGGGATCAGGTACCCCTGGCTCTTTCTGCAGGGGGGAGAAAACGAGATCCTACGCTAAGGCGGGGCTGGGGGACGCATGCAGGGCACAGCACTGTGTGCAGGATGCAGCCTCGTCAGCCAGCCCTGCTGGGGGGGGGCCCCACACCTCAGGCTGAGCCCGCCTCCCCATTCATGCCCAGCAGCCCCAGAGCTATCTGCCCTTCATGAAGCCATCGAGGACACGGTCACTGCGGTCAGAGAGCCAGTAGCCAGCCATGGCAGCCACGGCACCGATGAAGATGGCGGTGAAGACCATGTCGCCCTTGGCAGCCAGCGTGGCGAGTGCACAGATCATCACACCAAAGAACATCTGCTGCAGCACCACCACCTCGTCGTCGGTCACGTCGTCAAAGAAGCCTTTCTCCGGGGCATCTGCGTGGACAGTGCTCGTGGAGAGGCACAGTCAAGCAGCCAGAGCCCCCCCATTGCCACCCACACCCTCTACTCATCCCCCCACACTGTGTGAGCCGTACCAGGGGGCTTGTCCTCGACACACTGCCCATCCCGGCGGACGTGGCCTTGGGCGCAGACGCAGCGGTAGCTGCCCTCCGTGTTCTCACACACCTCCTGTGCTCCGGTGCACACCGGCTCCTCGGCGCTGGCACACTCGTCCACATCTGGGGGGACACAGCACTCAGGCAGGGCTCGGGCAGTGGGGAGGGGGCAGTACAGCCTGCCAGCCTATGGGAGGCACTCACCCAGGCACTTGGCTCCATCCCGCCAGTAGCCCTTGTTGCATTTCTTGCAGCGAGCTGGTCCGGCACCCATGCAGCCGATGCAAGCCGTGGAGCAGTCTGCCATGGGGAAAGGAGCCAGGGTTGGTGCTGGAGTCCCCTCCCATCCCAGCCAGGGCTGGCCTCGAGCAGGGGAGAGCCACCTGCACAGAAATCCTCCACCTCCTCCTGACCTCGGCACTCGTAGGAGCCCTCCGTGTTGACGCAGTACTGGTTGGCTCGGCAATGCGCCATCTCTGTGCCACACTCGTCGATGTCTGTGGGAGAACTGGGGACTGTCCTGCCGAGCCCTTGGCTCCTGAGACACAGCCGCCCACGGCCCCAAGCTCCCCCCCGACCCTCACTCACCAATGCAGCGGTGCTCGTGCAGTACCCAGCCCCTCTTGCAGCGAAGGCAGCTGGAGTCCTCGGGCCCCGTGCAGCGCCCGCATGCCTGGTAGCACTCTGCGGCCAGGGAGAGCCAGTGTGGGTGCAGGCAGGGGGAGCTGCCTGCACCCAGAGTCTGGGCAGCACCAGGGGAACCCCGGTTGCACAGCCCCCCTGGCCCCCACCTACCAGCACACATCAGGTGGCTCTTGTTCCGCGAGGCCTCGTAGTAGCCATCACCACACTCGGCGCAGAAGGGGCCGCCATAGCCCGGGCTGCAGACACAGAGGCCGGTGCCGCGGCGTGTGCCGTCGCCATCGCATCGTCCATTGCCGCTGCAGGGCTGCCGGGGCCCGCCAGCGCAGGCTACACGGGGAGAGACCAGCCGGCTGACAGCTGGGGTGGGGTGGCAGCCAGGGGGGGCCCCTCCAGCCCCAGCACCACCCCACTCATCCCACAGCTACTCACGCCGGCAGTCCGGGCCGTAGGTGCCGGGTGGGCAACAGAGCATCAGCCTGTCCACACACAGCCACTGGAAGAAGTCGGGGTGCTGCTGCTGCCTGGGGAGCGGGGACACAGTGCTCAGCCCCCTGCCATCCCCCTGCCCCCCCATGTCCCCATCCCCAGACTCACTCATGGAACCACCACTGCTCCACATGCTCCTCGCTCCGCTCCAGCAGCTGGTGGCAGGTGAAGTCCGAGGGAGCACAGACGCCCTCCAGCACCTCCAGGAGACGGGTCTCACTGCAGGGATACAGGAGTCAGTGTGGGGACACATCCCCTGGGGCAGCTGGGCTCCCCCAGTTGTCACTGGTTGGGGTCACTCACCTGTGCTGGTACTTGGACAGCTTCTCCTCCTCCCAGGCTGTGTTGCCCCCGCCAAAGCCCTCATGCTCTGTCCGCTCCAGGCCCTGGGCACAAGGCAGGGGTGGCAGCACAGCCATGGGACCCCCCCGGTAACCTCCCTCCCCCTAAAGTCCCACAGAGCTGTGTCCCTCTCCTCCCCACAAAGGACACACCATCCCCCAGGATCTGCCACCCTCTCCTCTCCCTAGAACCCAGTCCCTGTGCCCCGGGACTCCCTCCCCTCCCTAGCGATGCTGTGGGAGTGCTCCACCTCACCAGAGTCCCCCAAGCCACCCTTGTAACCACCCTGATCCTCCCGGCCTGTGCTGCCTCTGGCCTCCCTCGGCTACATCCCCCCTCCAAGAACCCGCTTCATCCCTGCTCACCACCACTGCCAGCCCGTGTCCCCCACGTCTGCCACCCGTGGGTCCCCCCCTGCACCGCCCCCTGGCCCCCGGCTCCCCCCCAGCAGGGGCTGTGTCACCCATCGCCCCCGCCCCGCACCCTGCTGAAGCTGTCAGCGAGGCCGCGGCAGGCTCGGCACGGCTCGGCCCCGTCCCGGTGGGGGTCGGGGTCGGCGCGGGCGGCCAGCAGGACCCCCCCGAGCAGGGCAGCCCCCAGCAGGGCCTCCCCGAGCCCGGGCCCCCCGCGCCGGCCCGGCAGCGGCGCCATCGCGCTCCCGCCCCGCCCGCACCACGTGGGCCGCGCCCGCTGACTCAGCGCCGCCGGCCCCGCCAATGGCCGCGCGCCGCCGCCGCCGGCCCCCCGCGCCCAGCCAATCCGCGCCCAGCCAATCCGCGTCCAGTCAATCTGCGCCCAGCCAATCCGCGCCCAGCCAATCCGCGCCCAGCCAATCCGCACCGCCCGCCCGGCCCGCCCCCCGCGCCTGCAAGGGGCCAAGGCCAAGAGCACCCGGCGCGGGGGGCGCGGGTGGGCCGCAGTCAGTGACCCCGCTCGGGCTGGGCGAGGCCCTCAACCCCCGATCCAAGGGCACACTCCCCATCACCACCCCCGCCCAGCCAAACCAGTCCTGTTCACCTTCCCCCCCCCCAGTCTAACTGGTGCAGCTCCCACTCACCTCCCCAAACTGGCCCAGTTGCCCCTTATCCCACCTAGAACCGGTCCAATTCCCTCTCCCACTCCCCACTCCAAACTGTCCCAGTTCCCCCTCATCCCACAATGAGCTGGTCCAGTTCCCCATCACCACCCCAAACTGGTCCAGTTCCCCATCCAACCTCCAACCAAACCAACCCACTTCCTCTTCACACTCCAGCCAGCCCAGCCCCCCTTCCTGCCCCCATCCCCCTATACCTCCCAATCATCCCTCTGCAACCCATTCCAGTCCCCCTGTCATCCCTCCCCAAGACATCCCACTCCCCACTGGACTCAGAGCTGGACTCAAGGTCAGGAAAAGCACTGTCACCCCTTTATTCCCCCACCGCCCGCCGCAGCCCCTCAGATGCCGCTGCCACATATGGCTCTGGCCACCGTCCCTGCCGCCAGGCTGGTCCCACCAGTGCCCGCAGGAACCCCCCCATCTCAGTGGGCAGTGCAAAGGCAGGGGCTGCCTGCAGTGCTGGGGGCACTGCCGGCACCAAGGCCTCCAGCTGGACCACCATGTAGCGCCCAGTGCCCGCCGCCAGTGCCGGCATGGCACAGGACAGAGCTGCCGCAAACACCTCACAGGGTGCCACGGCTGGGACATCAGCAGGGCCAGGGCTGTGCTGGGGGATGAGGCTGCTTTCAGCAGCCCCGGCCTCCAGCACAACCCTGGCCCCCGTGTCCCACTGTTGTGCAGCAGCCACTGCGGCAGGAGAGAGGAGGAAGATGATGGTGTCACCGTCACGCAGTGCCCTGCGGTGCTGGGCGTGCAGCCAGGGCAGCGGTCCCCACGCCGCTACCCCGCTGCCACCCCCTGGTGCTGCCACCACCAGCAGCCCCAGTGGGCGCAGAGCTGCCATCAAGGCACACGCCGCCCGCTCCGCTGCCGGCTCCGCCGCGTGTACCAGCAGTGCCCGCCGGCCTTGCAGGGGACCTGGGGGGGATCATCAGTGTCTGGATCCCTCTAGGCACCCTGTACCCATCCTGTGGTGGGAGGTATGCTGGGAGCACCCGTGATGGGAGGAGAGCATTCTTTGCCTCTGTCCCTCAACCTCCCATACCCAAGCTAAGGTACAGGCACGATGGGAAGCAGCTAAGACCACCACTGACGTGGGACCCATCCCCTGCTCAGTCCCCCGGTCCCCTTCCCAAATCCCCTTACCCACCCTAAGGGACAGCCATCATAGGAGACAGGTCATAGGAGACACAACCTGTCTTCCCATGGCTAGGATTGCCACCCTCTTCTCTGTTCCCTACACCTCTACCTACCCTGTGGGGCAGGCAAGCCTGGACCTGTTGTGGTAGGGGAGGCTACCCTGCTCTGGGTGGGCTCCCCTGACCCCTATGTCTGCCCACATCCCTCAGATCCCAGGCTCACCCCACACTCACCCTCAGAGCCATAACCAGCCCTCAGTGACTTCAGCCATCCTGTGAGGAGGAGAGGCAGTGAGGTGGGATCCTGGGAGGGGTCCCAGGACAAGCATAGCCCCCAGGGGTGCACCACTCACCTTTCACGTCCTCCTTCTTCAGCACGAGCAGGAGTAGGAGACAGGCAGCCGCCAGCAGCACCCCCATCCACACCAGTGCCCAGCGGGCACGCAGGTCTGTGGGGCAGGATCTGCATCCACCAAGGGCCCCCGGCACCCAGGAAGGTCTCTGGTGGCTACACAGGTGGGTGCCCTCCCTCAATTTCCCATTTTTCCCCCTCTCCCACACCATGGCCATTGACACTCACACTTGTGCATGGGACAGGCCCAGAGCACGACCTCGGTGCTGTTTTCAGGGTGCCAGATCTGGGGGAACACAGGGACATGTCAGATGCTGCCCAGTCCCTGACCACTACCTGCTGGCTGCCCACACTGACCTGCCAGCACTGCCCTGCTGCCACATCCCGCTGCAGATCCTGCTCCAGCAGCCCGGGGCGCCCCCTTCCCTGCAACAGCACAGGGAGTCAGGCAGCTGTGCCACCACTGCTGGCCACAGGCGTCCCTGTGCCACCACTGCCATCGCCACCAGGACATGAGTGTCCCTGCCCTTTACCGTGCTGGTGAAGCTGGCAAGGGGCGTGCAGGCATCCTGCTCCACAGCGCACAGCGAGGCATTCCCTCCACGCTCCAGCAGCAGGAGGTCATCGGGGTGGCCGGGCAGCGCTCCTGGGGATGTGCCAGGGGGCTGGGGGGGCGGCAAGGGGAGGCCAGGGCGGGCTTCCCCCCAGCTGGACCCACAGGCTGCCCCTGCCTTCCCACCCCAGCAGTACTCACGGTCCCGCAGGCACTGGATCAACCGGACCTGCCCACCACTCCACACCTGCCCCAGAGAGCGGGTTAGCAGTGCCTGGGGCTGCCTGTGGGGCTCCCCATGGGGCAGCTGTGGAGCAGAGAGGTGTCCTACCTGCACACAGAGGTTGGGGTGTGGCCGCAGCCTTCCAAACTCCTGGGGTCCCTGGGATTGGAAGGGTTGCTCCATGAATGCCACCTGCACCCTTCACGAGCCCCCAGCATCCCACAGAGCCCCACTCACCTGCCCTATGGTGGGCTGCTGCAGGCCAGGGAGGGGTTGGCAGGGCCCGGAGGGCACTGGCTGCCAGCAGGGCACCAGCTTGGCTGGGAGGTCGCAGGGGGCTGAGAGGGAGCAGGTCAGCACCTGCCCCTCAGTGTGCAGGACCAGGTGGCTCTGCATCCACAGTCGCTCCCAGGCCTTGGCATCTGTGGTGGCACCAGGAGAAGGGTCTCACCCCATGTAGTCTCCCCTCAGGTCCTTCTGTGTCCCAGCAACCCCACACCCCAGCCCCAAGGTGCAGCTACCATGGGAGAAGGGGCACAGGGTGGCCCTCAGTGGGTCCTGGGTCTCCAGCCAGACCTAGGAGCAGAGAGAGAGACATGAAAAGGGAGGATTTGGGATATCCATGCTGTGACTGTGACTCAGCTGGTCCCCTTGGGACACGTGGAGCCTGGAAAGCCTCTTTTTTGGTGGCACCCTGCCACTCCCACAGTGCCCCAGCTGGGTGCCCACCTGCAGGCAGAGGCAGGGCAGCACCTCATCGGCAGGCAGGCTGTAGTTCATGGGTCTGCTCTGCTAGCAGCAACCAGATGTGGGTCACCCCGTGGCAAATCGTGCCCCAGCAGGGTCACCCAGGGGAACCTGCTCCCAGGGAACCCTCTCCCAGCACACTGCCTGTAACACAGACACGGCTTCTCGGGAACAGGGAAGGGGGCAGCAGCCAGGGATCAGCCAAGGTGGGGGGTCAGGGAAGGGGGTCATACTCACCACAGTCACTGCATGCCCCGGCCCCCCAGTGCTGTGGCTCCGGTTGTGGTAGAGCCGGAGAGTGTAGCTGTGCCCCGCCACAGCCCCTTGCACCTCCACAACCACCTCCTTCTGCCCTGGGGAGATCCGCAGCCTGGGCACTGCACCAGAGCCGGCTCAGGTCACCCACCTCCTGGCACTACCCATCCAGCCACATGGCACAGGGCATGGCACCCACAGGGTCACTCTTGCCCCCAGCATCCAGCATCCCCCAGTTCTCCCCAGGGGATGCAAACCAAGGTGGGGTGACACCAGCACATACCTTGGCACTGGGGGACAGCAGCCTGTGCCGGGGGCCATGAGCAGTCTGTGGGGACAGGGAGTCAGTGGGCAGGGGGATGGGACCACCGCAGGTGGCACGCCGGGGCTCACCTGGCACCCGCTTCTGCCGGCTCAGACTCCGCTGTCCGCGTGAGTTTGTGTACGCTGTGACGTGGAGCTCGGAGCCCAGCGGTGCCTCGAAGCACCGGAAGATCACCCAGCCCTGGGCAGGAAAACCACCACCCCTCTGCGGTGAGGCACCGGCACCGCCAGCACCCACCTCCCCGGGGCACGAGACCCCCGTGCCATGGAGATGCACCGGTGCCAGCGCCCACATCCTCAGTGCCCAGGGACTGACAGTGTTGGGACACCCATTGCCAGTCCCCGCACTTACGTACCAGGGTTCGGTTGCGCTGTGTGGGGGCCAGAGGTGCCCAGACCTCCACGGCCACACAGTGGGAGGAGGCAAATGTGTGCCCTGAGAGCAACAGCAGCCCAGTGACATTGGGCTGGGACAAGGTGACCCCAGCCACTGGTGACCACTGTCCCCCGCCACTGCCATCCTCTGCCCCAGGGATCCCTAGCAGCACGGAGTGGTGGGTTTCGGTGGCAGTGGTGGTTCTGGTGGCAGGTGCCAAGGCCAGGCGCACACGCGCCTCCAGACAGGGCACACAGGCCGTGGGCTCACTGCAGTGCAGTGCCGGCTCCAGCCACAGACGAGCCAGGGACAGCCCATGGCCAGGCCCCGGGGGCTCCGTCCCACACAGCACGTCGGTGTCTGGGGAGACAGGAAGGGCAGTGTGGGGGTGGGTCCCCATGCCCTGGGTGAGCTGGGGGCCATGGCGTGGTGGTGGCACTTACCCAAGAGGCGGCAGGCGAGGCCCTGGGGGAGGCGGGAGTGAGGCCGGCGGTGGTGCTGGCTGCCCAGTGCCCCCGTGCTGGTGACATCGACCCACCTGGGAGCAGGCCAGGCTGTCGCGGGGGCCCCCACGCCCACCCGCCGCCG